TCCGAAAACCATACTGGCTATTTGGGAGTTTATGATTTCTTTCTAGCCACCATTGTAGTCTACATTTTATCATGCGTTCATAAGTTTTTCGAACACAGGAAATCAAGGAAATTGACCGGTAAGAGGTGGGCTGATTCGGTGGTTTATTTGGTTTTGGAATAGGAATAATAATAGAGTCAGACCAAGACTTTGGGACCTCTCCTTTCGCCCAACATTGATTTTGTTAGTTTAATAATTTAAGTTTAATTATGCCAGGAAGATTGCTCAGCATACTGTAGTGAATACCATCCATCCCTGGGGCGCTATTATTTGTTATTTTTAATGCACTTTCCAACTCTTTTAAGTTGTAGGGGTTTGTAATATCAGGACATGATGAATCTGTTTTTGGGTAATCTTTGAACCTTGTGGGCACAAATTTGATTTAAAAAACCTCCAACCATTCCCCATCCACTGTTTTTTAGCATTTTAAGTTTGGACCAAATATATTTTATAGGAGTGGTTCTATCCAGCGAAGAGCAAAAGTGTTTCCATGCATCTCGTTTGGTTTGACGAATCAGAGATTGAGTGGCTGATTCTCGTTTTTTATATGAGTAATAATTTTCTGAGGTAGGGTTTTTCAAATAAATTTTAAAAGCTCTTTTTCTACTTTTAACACTTGATTCGCACTCCGATTCCACCATGTGTTGGCGTGTAATTTTTTCTTTTGCCTGTTATGTTTTGGGGACGGTATACTAACTTTACACACTTCTGTCATTAAACTTATGAACTGATCGTAACTCTTGAAATCCGGCATGTTGGGTGACATTTTTTGGGCCCAGGCAGTCTTGAAAGCTTCCCAGTTTGCCTTTTTAGGGTTCCATTTTTTCCCCCGGGTTTGTAATAACTTAACGTCTACATTATTTAGAATGCATTTTATAGGGAGATGATCTGAACCCATAGGATCATCTAACACTCTCCAGGACAAAAACAAGGATATGTCTGAGGGTACCAGTGTGATATCGACTGCTGAAAATTTTTTTTGCGTAGGGGTTTTTACTTTAGTTAGTGAACCATCATTTAACCACACGATGTTGTTTAGATCAAGGGCGTTTAGTAAGTCATTTCCTTTTTTGTCTGTCCATTCCGAATCAAATACTGAATTATGCCCATTAAAATCTCCTGCCACTATGAACGGCCTTGGTAGAGCTTTAAAGAATCTATCCCATTCATCTTTTGTGATGTTATGGTTACAATCATTGTAGATTGAGAGAATAGTTAATGAAGAGAAGTCGTTGAGAATAACTTGGATAGCTACAGCCATAAAGTTATTGAGGTTGTGGGAAACTATGACATTTTTGAACTGGAAGCTATTTTTTATAAGAATGCCGACTCCTGCGTATGAATCATATCTGTAATGTCTAATAAACCTATACCCTGTAAATTTGTATATAAAGTTTGTGCTTAACCGAATACCTTAATATGCGTGTTCTTTCGGGGGCACCCTTTTTAGAGGGGGAATTGTACTCTCTGCTTGCTCGGAGTTAGGCTTTTTTGTCGAATAGTTACTGTTTTTTCTAGTAAAAAGTTTTTTAAATATTCGGCGGCCACTTTTTTCTACGTTTTGTTCCTGGGGAAGTTGAGGAAATTCCTCTTCTTTTTCCCGCATTAATTCTAATAGGCTAAACTTGTTTCTAGACAGGATCGATGCATATGAAGATTCCGTGAATTTTTTTCTATTTTCCTCCTGAACTTTTTGAAAAACTTCACATTTTTTATCATTTGTGAGTTGATTTTTTGAGCAGTGGACACAGATTGTGTTCTCTGACGTACACTCCTTTAATACATGGTCTTCCCCGCATTTTAAACACCTTTGTTTACCACGGCATTGGGCTGAGGAATGCGAAAACCTGAGGCAGTTTCCACACTGCCTTACTCGAGGCACATAAGGATGGACTGGGGAAACTCCACCATATATAGTGACGACCTCGGGAATTATTTGCCCCGTGAAGGTCACTACACAAGTCTGTAGTGGCATAACTCTAAATTGGTCACCATTTTTGACATATTTTTTCATGCGTTCCACTGAAAGGACTGGGATTGTAGGTGGGGCCTAACTATAACCCCCAGCAAAGCCCCTTGGACTAACCCCACCAATCTTTCAGGCTGAATTCCATATACTCTGTGTACAGTAGTTAATAAAAATAAGAAAGGTGCACAGATCTCAAACAGCCAGGCAATTAAGGCACTAAATGCGTACGCTTTCAATGCCTAAACTTGTCTAGGAGTATGCAAATTGCCTAATGACAGAAAAAATTAATTTACTCGGACATAAACAGGATGACCAACTGGAAAAAACACCCCTCTCGCCCAAGGGTCCAGAACTGATACTGGGTGCATCAGAATGTGTGGCTTAAGTTAGACCTGGAAAAATGGCTAGAGAAAGAAAGATTCGAGCACCAGTTCTGAGGCAAGTTAAGAGATTTATGAATCTCTCAAAAAGGAAGGCGAAGAAACTCCTCTATCTCAGCAGGCAGGATTTGAGAAAAAATATAGCTTAGTCCTCTATACAGGTCACTGCCTTCTTAACTATTATCAAAGAAGATGGGCAAAGCAGAGACAGAAATATACCGATGTTAGGAGGAACCTGAGAAATAACACGTCCTTTGAGGATTTGAAGCGACAGTTATTTCGGTAAGGCAGTACTCACGCCAAAATACGAGTTACAGGAGGAGTATGAAGAGGCGAGGAACGTGTTCTGACTCATAAAATATTGCACTTTCTAAGGTATATCTATAATTTATAGGGTTTCCACAATAAAGCAGGGAACACACTTACCAGATGCAATGTGACCCGACGCCTTGTCTCGTTTTGATAGGGTGTGCACATCTGTTCGACATCAAGTGCCCGCCATGTACAGACACACAAATCAGTATCACAATCTCAACGCTTCTTTTGCTTTTAAAGCATTATTATGAGCAAAACCATGTAATAAATTGTTAGTTAAACTCGTTCTGTCAATAAATGATATTCTGGTGTTTTGATCAATTTTCGGCCTAACCATCATAAGTAAATAATTTTTATAAAAACTCATGAATTTTTGATCTCGTTTAATTTGGCTTACATTAAAATAACCATATGTAATTAATATAATGACAAAATTACATATACATGGTTTGAAATAAACTACAAAAAATATGGGTGTCTGGTTCTGACACTACACGAACAAAAGGGTGTAATTTTATGAGCAAAACTATATAATAAATATGTAAGTTTCATTCTATCAATGATGGTATTCTGGTGTTTAGATAAATTTTTTACCAAACCATTAAAATTAATTTTTTTAAATAAAAACTCATGAATTTTTATCTAGCTTAATTTGGTTTATAGTAAAATAAGTATGTACTAATTAATATAACGACAATAATACATATAGTTTGAAATAAAAATATGTTTGGTTCTTTTGTCTTCGACTGTACTCGATGAAAATTGGGACAGTAGTAGGGAACTTGGTTGCATTGTTGCATAGTGTAGAGTAGGGTAGGGCAGCGTTACATGGCATCGGGCACATGTGCTTGGGTGAAATATAATCTTATGGAAAATTGGACATTGGATTTGTGTCGGGTGGCTTCGGGTCACATCGGGTAAGTGTATTCCCCACTTAAATCTTTTTAGGTCACAGTATAGGAAAGGATTTTTATAATTTTTAATCACACTCCTAAACTTTAAAAAAAAGTTTTTTTTATAAGTTTCATGTCTTATAAAGGAGTATAATAATATAATAATGTACGTTATAATGTATTTTAATTAATAAAAAGTAAGATATGCTATGGTTTACTAGGTATAAAATACACACTATCCATTTAAAAGAAAAAAAAAAGAATAGTGTAGTGTGTTGTTCAATCTTTTTAAAAAGATAGTTCCTTCTCATATTAATTTTTTTTTTGGTGTTTGCATGAAAAATGGCCAACTGTGGAAATGCATATTTTCCCAGCCTTTTAAATCTCACACCTGCGCTAGGTCTCATTTTTTTTTTTTTAAATTTACGCTGAACAAAATGGTTTTTTAAATGTTTTCCTAACTTTAGTCATTCATCAGTAAATTCAAAAATTCAGGAACATGTTACTTTCACATTTTATACGAAAACTTCAGCCAGGAAATAACAAGCTTTCAATTGCTCAACTTCCACTTTGTCCAATTTCTCGTTTCGAGTTATTCGTGATTTGTAGGCAAAAAACGTGGTTTTTATGTGTTCACAGAACAAACCGATTACTCTCTCTCCCGATTTTCCCATACATTATTTCATTACATTACTTGAAGCCAAAGTGACACAACACCTATGAAATGGCAAGGAAAAAATTGAATCATGATGAGGTAAACAAGTGTTTGTTGACAGCAGAAGCATTCTGCATCCCAAAAGGCCAAAGTGAGAATTGTCGCTTCCCGATTAACATTTTTGAAAAAGTCCTTGGGAAAAAAGTTATAGAGCGTAAAATTTGCAAAAACATGATGGTTTGAAATTTATACATTCTTGAAAATCGAAAAGTAAGTGATTGGTTTTTTCCATGAGCACATAAAAAACCATGTTTGTGCCCAAAAATCGTGAACAACTTGAAAACGGTCAAGAAATTGTGCAAAGCAGAAGGTGACAATTGAAAGATCTGATCATTAAAATTTCCTATCAATGCTCAAGGTCGATTTCCTGTCTCCACGGCTCAATTTAAAAAAAAAAAAAAAAAAAAAAAAAAAAAAAAAAAAAAAGTGCAAACAACATGTTCCTGAATTTTTGAATTTAATAATGATGGATGATTGAAGCTAGGAAAACATTTAAAAAGCCATCTTGATTAGTGTATTTTTTTTTTTTTTAATGAGTCCTAGCACAGGTCTGTGACTCAAAAGACTGAGAAAATATGCCTTTTCAAAGTTGGCTATTTTTTTCGTAAAAGACTCTTTTTTTTTCTTTTTTTTTGGCAGTATATTACATAAATAAAAAATGTTATAAAAAAATTATTTAAAAAACTGACCTCGCCATAGTTAAAGAACGAGTAGAGTATCTGCCAAAGTAGGATGAGTGGGCAGAGTAGAAGGTTTGCCAGCGCAACGTACAATATATGCTTTGAGAGGAGTGAAGCAAGCTCCTGGCGCTTTGATACTTTCTTGTAGTCCTCCTTGAGGTGCCAGCTGTTCACGAAAGGCGACCACGGCCCCCAGAAAAGCAAGAACTCGATGTTTGTCTTGAGCCCGTGGCTCAGGTAGACAATCTCTGAGCCGAAGAAAGGTAATTTGAACCTCGGCGGGAGGAGCGACTTGTTCACCATGGCGACCATGTAATTTTTAAACCTATAAGTTTATTTTTTATTTATTGATAAATTTATTATAATTTATTTTATTTTTAACATTACCGTAAGATTCGGTGGTAAATGTCGAGCTCAGAGAGTTCCCTTTTGTGTATGCACATCTGCTGTTCAAGTTGTACCTCGCGTATCCTCTTCTGAACCTCGTGCCATGTCATGTTTTCAAGTTCAGACTGTTTAAAAATTAAAAATAAATAAAATAAAATAATAAATAAATAAATATTTTTTCTAATTTATTGTTTTCCTGACAAAACTTACATCGCTTATTTTAAGTGCTGTGTTAAAGAAAGCCTTGACATCCCAGAAATGGAAGACATGCAGGAGGACTCGCACGAGCCTTATGAGCCAGAATACAACTGCCAGGATGATGACCGTCCACCAAAAGACGCCCATATGCTCAACGCATACGTCCTTCGTGTATATGACATCTGAAAGGGCCACCTTGGTTGTCGCAGTCACATTTGGCAATGGTTTGTCTCTTTATTATATAGAAAAAAATTAATTAAATAAAAATAAAATAAAATAAACGAATTTAGCAGAATCGTTTCAACATTCGGATCTCACCTACTTGAAAAGTATTGCGTAGTCAACACAGTTAAAGAGGAATACTGAGAAAAAGACAACGAATATAAACTGGAAAAGTTCGAGCACCTCCTGGAGCACCATGCACATGAAACCGTTCTTCTGATGGTACTTGTACACCCTCGTGAAAAAACTGTCCAGATCTTCTATGTGGTTCCATTTTGCAGCTGTAATTTACAATTGAAAAATTAGTTCAATCTAAAATACGAAAACAACTCTTAATGGAAATTAATATTTTGAAAATGTACAAAATTGTGTCAACCATAAATCAGCTTATGATGCCGGTGCTACCTTTTCTTTACAATATTCTTTACGACTCGTTTAGGGCGTCAAACGGACCCAAGCTAATACCGTTTTTGCGAGATGCTCCAACTTATCATGTTTTCTAACAGTAAGATGAGAGGACCCACTGAGAATCTTTAGGGCCCATAACACACTCTGGATTGTACCGGGTACACATTGGTGGAAGAAAATAAAGCAAATACCTGGATTCCTAGACCTAAGTTCAAGGAACTTGGTAAAGGTAAACATCATAGGTTATCTTTAGATTAATAAAATTTTAAAATCAAACCAAAACAAATGAGTGTTTATTTTAAAAATCCACAGTCCACGGAGAATTAACATTAAAACTTTTTTAATTGAAAATGTGGACAGAAATTTGCTATTACAATTTTTGGAAAAGCCAAATGAAAGCAAATAAATGTTCTGTAGTTAGTGAATAGTAGTTTTTTTTTCACAATTGAAATTTTTTTTAAATGAAAGTATGAATGTATAAAAACTTGCGACATGTAATTTTATGGAAATTATTTGACACAATCCAAGTCCTATAAGGTTATAAGACCTGTTATAACGTAAGATCATTACCATGCTGAAATGACTTCAAATTACCATGACTCTAATTACAAATATTGTTTTGTAGTTATTAAAAGCAGTTTTTTGAAGATGCAATTGTAATTTTTTTTTAAATTTAAATGGATGAATGCATAAAAACAAATCACATGCAGATTATTTGACATGACCTAGGTTCAAGAAGGTTAAGGAACTGTTATAACATAAGATCACTACCATACCAATTTTTTGACAAGCTGAATCAATGCAAGTATAGACTTTGTAGTTATTAAAAGCAGTTTCTAAACAATTTCACAATTTAAAAAATATCAATTAAAGTATGAATGCATAAAAACATGTCACATGTAAATGCATGCAGATTATTATAGACTCAAGAAGGTGAAGGAACTTATATAACAAAAGATCACTAACATTACTGTTTTTTGGAAAAGCCGACTTTCAAATTTCAAATGTAAATTGCCCTCAAATTAGTAGAAAGTTCGGTTTAACCCGAACAAAACCACACTAATACCATTCACAAAGATTAACTTAATATAAGAGCACCTTCTTTTAAAAAAAAAAAAATATCTTTCTCCAGGGGAAAATGGAGTAACAATATAGACAAAACAAGTCTAGGCCAAAGATTTTGAGGTAAAACATAGGGAAATAAATAAAAAAAATAGCTTACTGGCTAAATAAAAGAAGCATTAAACCTCTGATCACATAATTGAACTGACAAAAGAAAATACAGGCAAACTACTCTGTCTTAAAAACAAAATCTAAAAGTAAGCCATCATAAAATCAACTACAAAGATCTAATGGATTCAAAGGACCAATTTTTATCAAGCCCTCAACATCATTATTTCAAAGATGGTGTTGAACTGAAAAACAGAACTAAACATATAGCGTATGTAGAACAAATTTTCTGCTGGGTCCCAGGTCATATGGGAGTAGAAGGCAATGAGAAAGCAGATACCTATGCAAGAAAAGGGGCTGCTATACCACTGATAGAACCCGAAACTTTCTAAGGCATAGGAACCCACATTACCAACGAGTACTTCGGACAGATAAAAAGAGAAAGAGGTAACAATCGAACTCACTCATTGGACACAAATAATCCAAGAACCTCCTAACCAATTTTGTAAGGAAAGAAATAACAGATATCAAGGAAAGCAGGAAAAAACTGTGAATCCTAACAGGATTCTTAACAGGACAAGGGCAAACTAAACGGACATTTAAAGAAAATTGGCATAACCCAACACTGTAAATTCTGCAAAGAAGTAGAGTAGACCCCAACACACCTATTAACAAATTGTGATGCTACATTTGTCTGCAATATGATCGTAGAAGAAATTAACTGCTGAAACCAGGCCTACTAATTAAATTCCTTGATGAAATAGGACTCACTGGTGTGCTATAAACTGGGGATATAACAGCTCTTAAAGGGCACAATATTTTTTGCATGTGCAAAGCAAAGTGCCTCACATCCCAACCAGAAGTCCACACAGGAGTGTGTAAAGTTTTTTTTATAGTTGTAATGAATGTCTGGAAAGTCTAGCAAATTTTTAAAGTTGTATTGTACCCTTAGATCGTACAAACTGACCGAATATGAAAACTTATAAAAGTAGTTTAAAAATTGGGTTCTGAAGGACATGGCCATTCCACACACCCTTAACAATGTGCTGAAACACATGCAGACTAGCGTACAAGGAAAAAATCCAAACCTGCTTTACTTCACAACATAAACTGCTCAAAAATGAATATATGTAATTTATTCTTATTCTATTGATTTTAATTAAATTAACTGATATTTCTTGTTAGTTGGATAAAACAAAATAGAAAATAAAAACAAATGTTAATCCTTATTTTTAATAATGGATTTACTTAAGAATAGTGAACATGCAAAAGAGCAAAGTCTTGTCTTTTCTCCATTTTAATCCTGCAGAAAAATATCATCTTGAAGATTCACAATATTATTGTAAGAATGAGTCATCAAGGTCACCAGCAAGTGGTTATTGCAGAGGCATTTCTCAGAGCTTGGTCTCACGGGCTTTGACCCAATTTAGAGAGACTGGAAATGCCAATAGGAGGCCTGGCAGTGGATCTCAGCGCATTAAAACGCTAAGGGAGGACACTAATATTATCATGCAAAACAGAACCATTTCCATAGTGCCCAACAGATCCTAAATTAAGTAAGGTAAAATGAAGGTCTTTATCAACGAATCATTGTGGGAAGTTGGCCTCACATCGTACGCCCCTTTGAGTCAACTTGCAACAACCCACCATCAGGGACTCAGGAGAATATGGTGCGCAAGCGCCTAGGAGAGTACACCAATTGGAATGCTGTTATGTTTACTGATGAGTCACGCTTATATCTGTATAGTGATAGCAGCATGAAGAGTCTACTGAAAACAGGAGATGCGTTCATGCTCCCTTTGGGGCAGTCTGGAGGAGGCGGTGTAATGGTGTGGGCTGGGATTTACACTGGAGGATGAACTGGACTCATATTGTTGAAGGAGTCCTCACTACAGTCCGTTACATCTGAGAAATTATCGAGGAATAAATCCCAAACAAGGAATCTCATTGGCATGGATTTTCGATTTCTGGATGACAACGTCAGACCTCATAGAAGCAGAGTTTTTCATCGATGTTTAAAAACCTTGGAATTTCCCATCTGCCCCTTCACCCATCGTCACCAGACCTCAATACCATTGAGCGTATGTGGGGTGTGTTGCAAGGTCCAACATCCACAGCCAGTCAACATGCAAAAACTGAGTGCACTGTTGCAAAATTCCATCGAGTGAAATTACTTAGTGACAATTTTATTAACAGTATGCCTAACAATTGCAGAGGTTTTAACTAACAGAGGACAAGATGTAGATGTATTAGTCAGGTGTAGTATACTGAGCCCTTTGAGAGCTATTGTGCCTATAGTACACCTATTTCATCAAGGAACTGATTAGTTGGCCTGGTTTCAAACAGGACAATATATACGGTATTAATTGTTTAATATAATATTAAATTTTAATGCAATTTATAATAAAAGTAAAATAAAAATCCTAGGGAAAGTAAATATTACAAAATCTGACATTCATTTTTTGAGCAGTTTAGTTATCGAGGAAAATCTTTGCAAATTAAAAACGGGAAGTTTCCTGTTTTGAAGGATGACAAAGTATATTTTACATACTTGTCACTGATTTGGTTGGTAGGTTCGGGGGGGGGGAGTTGCAGGTGTTTATTTTTAACTTTTAATCAACAAAAATAGAGGGGAAAAACAATATTTCGTCGGATGTTTTGTTTTATGGTGTTGATACTAGTTGATTTGATTTTTTTTTTTTTTTTATAATGAGCTGATTATCAAAGAAATTGTACGAAAAAAGATATTGGCGGAGAGGGGGAGATTCATGAGGGCCAACTTATGACTCACCGACCAAAAAGAAACACACGGCTCAAAAACAAAAACAAAGGAATTTTTTGCGTTGAAAAAAAATAAGTAGAGGGAGCGTGTTTTTTTTGTTTGTTTTATCATTCTGATCAAAATTATTTAGTATTGCGATTTATTTGTTAATTACCTTTTCCGCATTCGGGCACAATGTGGATCATCCCCTGTGGGGTGTCCTCGGAGTCATCCGTCCCGAACTGCTGGTAGCTAGCCTCGAAGGTGCCCATCATTTTTTCTCAGTCGGGAAAACAGAAAATCTAAGTTGTTTTTTCCTTCTTCGGATCCTGATTTTCAGAAATTCATCCCGGAATTGGATCGTCTAACGCCCTGTAAGGCGGAATATGCAGAAAAGGTCACAGCCATGAAGGGGTCGGAAATCGACACTGGGATGAACTACGAAGAACGAGAGGTGGTGTGACAGTAAACCGTAAGGTAAAGACTACAGAACTACTGTGCTGACTGCTCAGCTGGGCGCCCCATGACCCCACCACTGCCGATGTCCTCCATAGGGTGAGGCGCACGCATCCGGCGGACTTTTCGAATCATACTAATTTTATTAGGTTTCGTGGTCCGCTTGATGAAATAAATTCATTTAAATTAATTAAGCTTTTGGTTGAGATAAAAAAGTCAGTGTCACAAGCGGGATTCGAACCCACGACCTTCGGCTAAATACGCCGCTGCTCTACCACTTGAGCTATCGTGACTTCGATCCACTCGGAAACTAACTTCCCATCTCTACCCCACCTTTTGAATTTTCCCTCCTTTTTGTCATTTTTCAAATATCGTGTAATCTATTTGATTCTCGGAGACAAATGACATACTAAATANTATTTATAAGATCATACATATATTATCTGAAGGGGCAGTAATAAAATATTAATACTAACATGGTCACTTACCTGACTACCAGCAGAGAGAGTTGATATACCATTTGTAAATCCCCTCTGGGAAAATAAAAATTCAATTAAAATCAGAGAATAGAAGACAAGGTACTTGTAATTAAAAGAAGTTATATAAATTAAACTTACCCTCTGAAGGCAACAATCCTCGCCTTAAAACAGCTTCAATGAACCAGCAACCTACACACTGTTCAACACTCACGAAACAACTTAACACACTGTTTAAATAGCACTTTGTGAAAATATATATTTAAAAAAAAATGAAATTAAATAAATAAATAAAAATGTGAAAATGGCAAACACCCTTAGAAAAAGAAATCAGAAATGTAGAAGACATAAAATAAATTAAATGTAGATTAGCCTCAAAAGTTATTTATATGATCATACGTATATTAGTTGAAGGGGTAATAATAAAATATTAATACTAACATGCTCACTAACCTGACTACCAGCAGAGAGAGTAGATTTACCAGTTGTAAATCCCCCCCTGGGATAATAAAAAATTCAATTAAAATCAGAGAATAGAAGACAAGGTGCTTATATTTAAAAGATGTTATATAAATTAAATGTACCTTCTGATGGCAACAATCCTCGCCTGAAAACAGCTTCGATGAACCAGCTGCTCCCTCACTGCTCAACACTCGCGAAACAACTTAACACACTGTTTAAATATCCTTTTTTATAAATGAAGATATAGAAACCGCACAACACCACCTATTGAAAAAAAATTATATACATAATATATATTATATATATAGAAAATTTGTGTGTGCAAACTATATTTCATTCCGGCGGACTTTTCGAATCATACTAATTTTATTAGGTTTCGTGGTCCGCTTGATGAAATAAATTCATTTAAATTAATTAAGCTTTTGGTTGAGATAAAAAAGNTATATATATATACTACAATAAATGAAATATAGTTTGCACAGACATATATAATTATATATGTGTCCTAAATTAAATGAAATATAGTTTGCACAGACAAATTTTCTATTAGTTAAAAACAAATTGTGGGTGTATTAAATGTAATAGAGATTTATAAATTGGGACAAATATGTTTTACAGTACAAATACTAAACAGTATCTCTGCATAAGTCATTTAAAAAAATGTTTTGTAATTTTTGTTTTAACATTCTTCGACAATGCATTTTTTGTTAACCAATAAAATGTCATTTTTAATAGCATTGATATAATAGCATAGAGTACATTGGAAGAAGAATTAAGCTCGTAAAGCCCTTACTTTTGGAAATAAACGAGAAAAACTGAGCAAAACGTAATTTTTTTATTTTCTTTTTAGAATTAAAACGCCTTTTTAGAACTAAAACTACCTGCTAGGACGAGTTGAAGTAAACACGAAAAATCGAAAAAAAAATTATTTTCTTTTTCGATGTAAAACGACTTAATGGGTTGATGGGAAAAGAATTAAGCTCGTAAAGCCCTCATTTTGGAAATAAACGCAAAAACTTTTTTTTAAGGAATAAAACGACCTCTATCATTGATTGGAAGAAGAAATACGCTTGTAAAGCTGTTAAAAAAATTAAAATAAAAATAAATCGAACGACTTAGAAAAAAAAGGAAAAATTTTTCATTTTCTTTTTCGATGGACCGGCAGGATTAATTGAACGAATAATTAAGCCCGGAAACCCTTATTTTTGGAAATAAACAAGAAAAACCGAGAAAAACGTAAATTTTTTTATTGTCTTTTTAGAACTGAAACGACCTGCTATGACGTTTTGAAGAAGATCAAGCTAAGGCGTAAAGCCCTTTATTTCCAAGGTAAAAATCGTAAAAATATATATATTTTTATTGCATTCTTATCTATTGCAGGTTTTGAAAATTTGATTCATTTCCGTAGGTGCTTGTCATGTAAACGAAGGTAAATCCTCGAATCTAATTTACGGATAAGAGAATATTAAATAAGAAGAATAAGTACTTTTAACTATTATCTTTTATACAAAACATTTTATTTTATCCATTTACGTTTTAGCGGTCAATTGACCAAGTTACTTCTTTCAATTAATTATTCTTTTTATGTTTTATGTTGGTTGAGATAAAAAAGTCAGTGTCACGAGCGGGGTTCGAACCCACGACCTTCTGCTAAATACGCCGCTGCTCTATTATGTTAAATTTTATAAGATTGAGGACCTGAGAAATTAAACATGTCCAAACTAGATTTTCGTTAAATTTATTTGTACGAATTTAAACTTGGGCGATGTACAGCTCAAACCGCCCTTAACATCAATTGATCAGGTTGATATGTTGGCCAAAGAGGGAGCCAACATGAACTGTCCAGATCCTGAACCCTTCTGTCGCTTAGCATCCTGCCACAAAAGGAGATACATCTTGAAATGGGATCCTTAATGAGTCCAAAACCTGGTGGAACAATACCACAGGTACGAGGCAAGCGAGGAGATTCACAGAAGGGCCATCTGTACAATTCCTGGAATGCAACCGCAACCGAACCAGGATTCTGGTCGGACTCCTTCCTGACAGGACATTGCCACAAAAGAAAGCACATGCACCGGATAGGAGTACAGACAGAAGAAACACTGTGCAGAAGTTGATACTGCCAGGAAGAGGAGGAGACCGCAGAACTTATTTAATGTTTCTGTGAAGGTCTATGTAGGTGCAGGTTCTTGCAACTAGGACAGGCGCAAGCAAGTCCTACACTAACGAGCCGCTGGAAAGGCTATGGATGTTGATTAACGACCTAAAGCTAGCAAGTGAGTTATAAAAAAGCAGAGGAGCACAATAGATCTACTGAGTGCAGAATGCCTTTTGGCCGCCTCTTTTATCCATATCCTCTAACTCTATCACAGCAGAGGAATATTGCCGAGAAGGTTTGGGATGTTTAAGCTATAGGTTACAAAATTTGAAACTGCAACGTCTTTGTCCAGCATTGGTAAACCGTAAGGGGCCGCTTCTTCTTCACTATATCGGCACGTCACATGTCCCAATGCCGACCCTGCGGAAACATAGGCTGGTACTGTCTGTAGACGAATCGCCGATCTTGTCGGTAGACTCTTGCGGAACAAATCCAACACTATCTAGAACCTTTGTCATAACTGCACAGCTCAGTTAAACTACGCTACCCATAAAAAAGACCGACCACCTGGCTTTTGCACGAAAAAATGGCCAAATTTGGAAATACATATAGCCTTTCATTTTTTAGAAAATTGTATACTGAACAAGATAGCTTTTGTCCTTGCTTCAAACATTTACTATTCTTAAGTAAATCCGTAATTAAAAATGACTATTAACATTTGTTTAATTTTGGTTTGTATTTTCTATTTTGTTTTATCCAACTAAGAAGAATAAATATGTTAATTTAATTAAAATGAATATATTACAAATATCCTTATTTATTTTTGACCAGTTTATTTGAAATAAATTTCCTATTTTTATAAAAATTAAAAATAGTTTTGACTGCCATTTCAAAACCAGCATTATTTTTGCACCAGCCCAATTAAAAAAACAAAAAAGAAAAAACAATATTCCGATTATATTATTGTCAAACATTTTCCAACGTTTTTATTTTTTTATTTAGCTGCAATAGGTTTTAATTATGAGGGATATATTTTTTGCCGGCCAGTCATTGGCCGTGCCGTTTTTTTTGTCTTTACCTGTCAATCATCCGCCATGCTGTTTTTTTCCACATTCCCATGCCGACCTTGAAAATTTGCGAACCAGGATGGACGATTATAAAAATGTCAAACCTAATTAATTTGCAATTTTTACTTTTGTTATAATTAAGTTATCTCGATTCAAAACTTACAAACGGAACATCATCAACATGTTGGGCAGATTTAATTGATTTATCAACTTTTAGATGTGTAGTTCGAATAATTCAATTTAGAATAAATGATGGCTAAAAGCTGACTCTTGATCTTCTATTTCTCTTAAATGAGGCCTGAGTATTCGTTCGTTTGATGCGAATGCAATGTCAGCCTACTTATTAAATAATATTACAACAATAATTTCGAACAAATTTCTTTTTATAAATAAATAGAAAAGGCATGTGTTGAGGCTTTAAATGAAATTTTAGCATCTTAACCGATGAGCCGACTCGAAGAGCCAGTAGCCGAAAAACTTCCGATCTATAACCCAAAATAAATCAATATCCTAATTATATAACAACTGAAAACTGATCAATTGACTATTTTCAATGTAATTAATTAAAAAACACAGAACCGGACTTGTATAAACTTAATAAATGTCAAAAATTAAAAATACCTTTTTAGAGGAAGAAAACTAGATATGGAATCGATGGCCGCCAGGAGAGAAAGAGAGCGAATGGCGGGAATATCACTTCCCCGTCCCCCCACCTACTGACAATTAATCATACACTTCTCTCACAAATTAATTTAAACATCGGAAAATGTTTAAAAATAATATAAGCCGGATATTTTAAGTATCTTTTTTTAAATTACACCCGATTCTTTTAAAAATTTAGTACTTTCTGGAGATACTTGGTTAAGCTGGCAGTGAACTGATAGACCGATGATTCTCCGTTTAGAATTTGAGTAATTATTTCATTTTAAAAATAAATAATTAATTCTTAAATATTCGTTAATTTTTTGAGCTATTATTTTGAGAAAAGATTTTGAGTAATGTAATATTTTTTATTTACATGGAAGGGTCCTTGAATCATCGGAAGTTTCCCGCCATTCCCAAGGACAATTCAGGCTGCGAATGGCGGTCGAGACTCGGCTACCTCACGGTGAGCTTTTATTTCGAAATATTATAATACAATAATAAAATAGTAATAACAAATAATATAAGTGTTACATTTTTCAACACTGGTAGGGAACTAGATTGGTTTTTAGAAATTTGTACTTAAAAGATGTAAAATTGAACATGGAGATAAGCGCATTAAAAATATGAGATTTTGATTTACCTTCGATTTTAAATATGTACCTAAATAACTTTAATTGTACAAATTAATTTTTAATATTTAATTTTATCGTTAATTCCACTTTCACAATTCATGTCAATTCCTTCAACTTGATGAGCTGTAAGCTTGAAACCTGAAAGGCTGCGACCTTTTGGTTGTTAAGCCTTGAGTCTATAAAAGTCAACGGTGCAGCCCAGCCCCTTCAGACCGAAGCCCCTGCAAACCCTGGCGCCTTATTCCTCCTCTCAGAACTGATGCTTTTAATATTAATACTGCACGCAGGGTTTTATTGAGGAGGGCCGTGTCTAGTCATTATTGACACCTCCTCCAAGCTCACTGGAGATTCCTTTATCCCAGAACTTTCTTTGAAATTTAGTTCCTTTAATATTTAATTCAAATTCAATTCAGTAGGGTTTTTTTTTTTTTTTTTTTTTTTTTTTTTTTTTTTTTTTTTTTTTTTTTTTTTAAAGTGTAAAAAACTTAATTGTTGGATCACATGTCCGAACTGAATGTAAAGTTTTTCAAAGTCCTGAGGAAGGCGTCAAATATAGCTGAAAACTCGACAGCAGAAAAACATGTTGGTTTTTTTCACCTAGATGGCTTCATCCCTGATCACTTTACTTCAATATTTATCATGAAGGCCGATACTATACTCAACGATAAAAAAAACTTACTTTCACATTTACCAGGGTGCTATTCTGAGCAGTATGAGCTGATTTCTTCCAAGGCCATCTGAACACAGATTTGATCTTTTATGATGTTTTTTATAGTAAGTAGCTAGATCACAGCATCAACACAATTTTAAAAGAAACATTAAATTAAATCATAAAATAAATATTAAGGGTTTGATTAATTTATTAAAAATCATAAATTTCATTTTTATATTTTGCACAATATTAAATTAAATATTTACAAAAATATATACAATGTTGGTCAATTCTATTCATCCCCCACTTTTGTATTTACATTTCAGCTCTCTTCCTCGTCTTCCTCATCTGGTGCGTACCTGTCGAGCAGTTCTTGTTTTTTCTTTCGCAGTATGGCATCCTGGATGTCCTTCTGTGTCGGTACAGGAACATGGGCCTTGAACGATTCCAACGTCTTGGCTGTTATTTCTGAATCAGAATCGCTCGAACTCTACAAAATACGCATACACGTAAGTAAAATATATTAGTTAATACGCAAATGTATGAAACATACTTCATTCTTGTCGATTTTGTATATGTCTTCTTCTTCTTCGTTTTCTTCATTGTCCTCGCATAATTTCTTCTCTTTTTCCTTTGTCCATTTATCAACAGTTTTTTTAATAGCTAAAAGATTTATTAAAAAGTGATATAGTGATGTTACGCGTTAAAAATTATTATAATTTAACTAACCTTTCTTTTCTTCGGCTTCTTCTAACGGTATGAGTATGCCGTCGTCATCATCCATATAGCCATAGTAAGAGGCGTCGATGTCGCGCATCAGTTCACCCCTTGTCTTGTGTGGAGGAGGCGGTGGTGCCTGTTCGAACAGCTCTCGCACACCGGGCAGCTGCCTTGCCGCACCGAAGTATTTGTAGCCACGGTTGCCAGGGACTTCTTTGCCTTCGTGGTCCAGCATGCGCGGCCCGGTCCTTGAATGGTCCGGGCCGCCCAAGTCTCGTATCTGTGCTTCCCAGTGGCCCTTCTCTCTCAACAACTTGTTGATCTCGTCGTTCAAATCTCTGATTCGAAACTCGCCCAGCCCAGCTATTAAACAGATTGATTTAACAATTCAAATAAAAAAAAATTCAATTAATTGTTCTTTTCATAAAAGGTCTTGGATGAGATGAAAAAGTTAATATTACAACCATTAACTTAGTGTTACAAGTGGGGTTCGAACCCATGACCTTCGGCTCAATACGCCACTGTTCTAACCACTTGAGCTATCATGACAAGTGAATCATAGTTAGAGCAGCGGCGAATTGAGCTGAAGGTCATAGGTTTGAATCCCACTCGTGACACTAACTTTTACATCACAACCAAGACCTTAGACAAAAAGTACAATTAATTGAAATAAGTAATTTGGTCAATTAGACCACTAAACATAAATGGATTAATAATAATAATAATACCGTTCTGAATCTGTGAAACTTTCTTCGCTATTTCTCTTATAATCTGCATCCTCCATTTTTCACACTGAGGAAGGTCGTTGCAGTCGGTGGCGAGGAACGGCCTGCGTATCTTTGATGCATCACCTTCACCAAGTTGTGCGGCACGCCATCGCGCCAGCGTTGTCCTGTAAAAACAACCATAAAAATTGATCAAAATAAAAAAAAAAATAAAAAATAAATAAATAAATAAACTTACATGGCTTTTTCTGCATTCCTGGCCTGAAGAAGGAAAAAAGGTTTATATTTAGAAGAACAAATACATTTTAAAAATCATAAGCCACATATACATCTATTTTATGTAATTATTTGGAGATTGTGAGATGCAGTCTTGTACGTTGTAGGTTTTAGAAAAACTAATTATTCAGAAATTGTGAGATGCGGTCTGGTATGATGTAGGTTTCTAACAAACATTTTCTTTATCGTGCCAACATTTTGATCTTTATTGAGATCATCTTCAGGGCCTGGGATTTACAAACATTGTTTACATTTAACAAATACATGTAAAATGTGGAAAAAAGTTTCTACTCACTCAAAGTGTTTGTCTTCTGTGTAATTGTGCCATTCTTGCATGTCGTGTTGAGAGTGCCAGCGAGATATTGCTGTTTTATGTTTACATATGCTGGATTTTGAAGGGGTGGGGAAGTTAGTCGGTATAGAAAAGACATTTTTGTATAAGGTGTCGGCTTCTTCGAGGTGAAAAGAGCCAACGAAGGAAAAAATGTTGGTAATGGTTCGGCCAGATTATTCTTTCAGGATTATATAGAAGGGGATAAATAGGAAAAGGAAAGCTAAATTGTTGAAAAATTAGACTATGTGAAAAACGTTTGATGTATGGAATGTGATGTGATGATATATGTATGGGTTTTAGATAAAGTCTTTCTTGTGCCAACATTTCAATCTTTATTTAGATCATCTTCAGAGCCTGGGATTTACAAACATTGTTTGCGTTATACAAATTATATTATTATATCACATACTTTGACAGAGAACAAATACTTTGAATAAACCTACAACTTTTATATTGTGTATATCACTGTATAAATTCATTTTCACATCGTAGATGTATTTGTATCTTCCAGCCCTGAGGAAGATCTATATAAAAATCGAACGTTGGAACAATTAAGAAAATGTTTTTCCAAAACCTACATCACACAAGACAGCATCTCATGATCTCCAAATAATCATTAATTAACGGTCACTAAATACTACACATTTTATATAATACTGCTTTTAACGCTAATAATATTGACAATTTAAAGGCGTTATTATTTAAATTAATATCTAATTCGGATATGATTATTGTTATTATGTTTTCTTTGGTAGAGCTGATTGTCGAAACGATAAAAAGCAATTTAAAATGTTAAGTAGACATTTACAATTTAATATTTATTATTTACATACAAATCTAAATGTAATTTTATTTATAAAAATATATACAAATTACCATTGTGCCTGGTGATAAACAAAACTTAAAACGTGAGGAAACAGGTTTGTAAACTATTGTATCACAGTCATGGAAGGTTATCGCTTTAAGCTAATCATATAGGCATTGTTAATTAATTTATTTAAACTTTTTTTCTTTATAATTATTAAAGTTGAGTTGATTGAGTTTTTAAGTTTTTTGTAGTTGTTTTGAGGTTTTTATTTACTGTGACGTTTGGCTGCCCTTTAGAAGGGGTATACCGAGTCGGTAGCGCGCATTATTTAAATTTAAAAAAATCCCAAAACGAGCGGAAACGTGCCGGCCGGTGCCGCCGACGGTGCCGAGGGACGTTTTCGCCCGGCGGGCCGCCCTCCCTGAGAAAATCTGCCTCTCCTAGACGCCGGAACCGCCCCCGAGCCCTGGCCGAGTCGGGGATTTCGGACTGGACAGACGGCCGCGGCGGACATGTTGCCTCGCCGCCCAGCCTAGCCGCTTACCAAGCCGGGAGGAGGTGCCGAGTTCGGCCCGTTCTCTTCCAGGGTGCCGCAGGATGGGGTTCGGAACGGGAGGAAAAGAGCGAGAACAAACGGACCAGGACGGGCCAACATCGTCCTCGGCCCCCGAGGCCGGCCTGCACGACAAACCGAGTATGAAAACACAAAAATAAAATACGAAAAATCCTTGACCATTTGTTATATCACTTAATTAAGGCAAACAATAAGTATTAAACAAAATAATTTATCAATTTTATTTATTTTAAAACAAACAAATTAACCCACCAAACTTTTTTTAAATTTTAAATTTTTTTAAAATAATTCATTAATAAAACAATTTAAACTTATTCACACCCCCATATTTTCCGATTTTCACTTACGACTTCTTTCTCAATGGCTTCACCGCACAAACAGCGAGAGAGGTCGGAAGAAAGTCTGAAAATTATAAGATCATGAAGAGGTGAGCGAATAGAGAGAAAGTACGAGTCGGTAACATGAGAGGGTTAAGAGACATAGAGCGTTCATGGTATGAGTGATAGTGTCGAGAAGGCTTGGTAAAAAGTGTACCTGTCAAATAGTGTAAATGAGTGCGATTACAGTATCACATGATGAGTATGAAACAGAACAGACAGTATCACTGATCTTTCTTCTATATCACAGATTGTATAAGGAAATTATAGCTCCATAACCGAATATGAGTCAGAAGCTGGCATTTACCAAAGACTTGAATTCATTTAAGGCTTGTGCAATATGTCACCGTCTTTCAAGCGGAAACTGTGGCTATAAGGAGATAAAAAGGCTGGGGATCATCAATAGAATAGCCATCTTCCTGGACAATCAGATAAATGAAGTCTAGAATCATTTGGGACTGCATTAGAGTCAGAGACAGTCAGACATTGTGGAAAATAACTTGTCTGGTTGCTAGGGCAGAGGGGAAATGAAAAGGCCGTTAAATTGGCCAAGGAAGTTCAGTGATGACACTTGACAATGGCCCTGAACCCTTTTATGGCTTACCAAACTGCCAAAAATGCGGCTCCATTAGACAATGGATTAATAATAAGTCCTTCGCTCAATGGGAATATAGCCCAGGACAAAGGTGTGTAAAAAAGTTTATCAAAGGGCCGTCACAGAAACTAACAGCAGAACTATTAAATCTAGGATGTGCCAGTGCTAGAATAATAGTTGGACTGCCAACTGGATACTACAGACTCCATAGGCTTAGACTCGACAGAAAAAAATAAAGAAGAAAAAAGTGGAACACATCCTCTGTTGGTGCGAAGGCCTATGTAGGTGAGATTCCTAATCCTGAGAGAGCACATGCCAGGGCCTGAAGGATACACATGGACGCCCTTGAAAAAGCTTTGGGGTCTGGTAAAAAGCCTCAAGCTGAATGAAGAGAAAAAAAGGAGATGCACAATAGACCAATACTGGTCGTGGTGGACAGGCCATAAAGAGGCCAGCTCTTATATAATCTAGTCTAATCAGGAAATTGATATATACAAATTATTATTCTTGTCTTTGTCAAAAAGTCTTTCACATCTTTGTTGATTATCTGGCTTGTACCAGTCATCGTTGTGTTAACATACCAGCCTTTTTTAGAGTATAACGTTTTATATAGAGAGAGAAATATAAGAAGAAAAGTGTGATGGAGGAAAAGACATTAAATTGGATTATTATAACAGAGGAAAAAAGTATAGAGAAAGTCTAGAAGAAGAAATATACAAAACTTGATTACTAAAGATAAAGATTAATAAGCCAGAGAGAGTCTTGGTTTATTTTTATTTATACTATGTGTCTATTATTATGACATTGTCGTCCTTTCCAACATACACAGTACCTTTGTACATAACTTTTGTTTTTTTAGGTTGCTTTATTTTATGGAATTGTTAGTTAATTATGGAATAATTAATAATTAAGTTATTAAGTTAATAATTAACATGGAATTGTTACGACTAATCCATCATATTCAAATTTATTGGTTAAAGTCAGATTAATTTGTGCAGATGCAATTAATGTAAAATATGAATATTAATGTTGTGCTTCTGTATTTTTTATAAATAATATTTGCTATTGATTCCCGATACGCCCAAAGTAAAATGTTTTTACTTTATTTAAAAATTACACATGGAAATGTCTGACATTAACCAAAATTTTTTTTTAATATTTCACATGAAATTAAACATTTTACAATTCAATTTAGAACAAAATAATGCAATTTGCAATTTTTCAGTGCTTAAATTTCATTAATCGTCGTAGGTAGTTATAGATGATACTATGGAATTGGCTTCCCCAGGAAGTACTGCTTCCTCACTGGCTTGTTTCAAGTCCATGGCATCTGAGTTTTTAAAAACAACATAAATCATCTCCTTTTCTTCCCTCTTCCTTTTGTTTTCCTGTTACTCTTTTTCTCTTTCTGCTTTTCTTTCATAATATGGTTTTATCATTCGATTATTAATGATCAATATTTTAAAGAGTATATTATTGTCTTTATATTTTTTGTACATTTTATTGCATGTTTTACTATTATTTTTGTTATTATTATTTTGTTATGTTCATAAAACTTAATTTATTTTTAATATAAGTATATATAAGGAGCATAAAGCTGTATTTGTACCTTTAAAATAAATAAATTAGACCTCTGAGAGAATTTATGCATTAAAAAGTAGTGTGCATAATTGTCAGAGAGGATCCTAAATTTGTACTTATAGAAAAAAGTTCAGGTCTCTCTCTCTCTCTCTCTCTCTCTCTCTCTCTCTCTCTCTCTCTCTCTCTCTCTCTCATCACTTTTCACTGTATATACTTGCAAATTGACCGATCTCACCTCTACCTGAGGTGGGAATGCCCATCAACCTTAATCCCTGATGAGGTTCCCTGATGAAAAGAGAGAAGTATATATTTTATTATATATTATATTTTATGATTTAAAACAATCTACAAAATTATTGCCTTTAATTTGTTTAAATGTATTAAAATTTAGATGAAAAAAATCAATATTTGGATATATTTTATTTCCTTTCTCACAATTCTATTTATTGGTGAATAAAATATGTAATTTGTTTTACAAAAAGGTACACTAAACTTAAATTAATGCCTCATAGCATGTATTGTTGGGACATTGAAAGTGATACATGAAATGAGGTCAGTAAAAATTAGTTGACCATTGATTTTATTGTAAAGAAATACTAGATCCCTTCTGTCAGCTAGTGGTGGAAGATTATAGAGAGAGAAAAAGACAGTTCTGAAACGAAAGGAGAGGAAATTGAAAATGAAGGATTCTAATAAATTTATTTTGAACTTTATCTAAATATTCGGAATGAGAAGAAAAATGTGGATTCCATACAACAGTAGAAAATTCGAGGATAGGACGAATGAGAATGAAAAACCTATGTCGATGATGAATTGGGATTATGAAAATTACGAGTGTTTCTTATAATAAAACCCAAAATTTTAAGACCTTTTTTAAATTGACTTTGATAAAATGCTCCTTATTCCAATTTGCTATTAAACAAGACCCAGACACAGGATACTCTGTTTATTGTGGTCTTGTCAAGAGAACAATTATGTAGAATGGTGTTGGAAGAACGATTTAAATTTGAATAGTTAATTTGATGTTATGTTTATCGATAGATTGCTGCAAGAGAAGAGAGTCTTGTGTTGATTTTATAGATAGGAAATCAGCATATAACATAAATGGTGTGCTAAGGCCAGGTTATTTATAAAGATTAAAAATAATAAGGCCGAAATGTGATCCCTGAGGTACACCAGACATAACTGAAATTTGTTCCCTTCAAATTTAAAAATGTTATTTATTTTGCTCTGTTCCAACTCTCTCACTCACTGGCTTGTGTTTTTTTTCTTGCTCTCGTACAGTATTTGCGTTTTTATTGCCTCTTCTTCTTAAATTAAAAAAAAAAAAGAAATATACTATATAAATACTGAAGAATATTGTTATGTAATATATTATACATTATTGTTTAAATATTAAAAAAAAGGGAAAATATATCGTCGAAACGTTGGCATTGATAAAAGAGCATTGTTTGTTTTATTACCATTTATTTTATTTTTATTTTACCACAACCTAATCCACAAGACTACATTGCATGCTATTACTAATGGCTGGTCGATTGTGTAGAAGATAGAAAAATATTTTTTTTTAATCAACGAAATTGGGTCTTCAGAATACTTTTTACAATTACTGTTTTCTACTATATTTTTAACCACATCAAAGTGAAATCTTACGTTATTTTTCTCTCTTCCAAAAAAAATGTATAAGTGTGTGTTTCATACTTTTGTACTTTTTTTGTTATTACTTTTGTTGAAGTCGGCCCTGAAGATGACCCAAATAAATGTCAAAACGTTGACAGAAAAATGAAAAAATTTCTAAACTACCTCATTTTTGATCTCATGACTTAAACAAAAAATGTATAAGCATGAGTATTTCTAACCATGAGACTTTTTAAGGCTCTGTCACTCCTTATCCAACTTTTTATTTTATTTATTACTGTTTTCAGTATTGTAAGCATTGACCACTTTTTCATTTACAAACTAACTGGATCGAGAGGTACGGTCTTGAAGAAGAAAGCAAATTTAGTTGCTCTTGCCAAGCTTTCAACCTATGTTAAAGTGTTGATTCAGGGCAAAACAATCTTAAATATTCCTACAGATTGACATATTTAAGTTTTTACTACTCAAATTTCCTTGACAGATTCAGTCCCAACATTACCAAGGGCTGTAACAATTTGGGAATGTTGGGTCTTCAAGAAAATTTGAGATCGCCTGTAAAAACTTAAAGGTTGTTTTGACCTGGTGATGACCTTAAGCAAGGTCAAAACTTAGCAGTAGCTTTTCTCATTCAATATTTTTCACCGAATGTTCTGTGGCGTAATTAATTTCTTTTCTCTCGGTTTGTCTATTCACCTTCTTAGACTGTATTTCATTAATTCTATAACTTGTCAATTTTTGTCTGTACTCATTCAATTCAAAATGTATTTCTTGTTCTTACATCTCTTACTCTCTCGCCAACTAACTCCTATTTCTTGCACTTTCTATGCTCTATTTGTTTGCGCATCTGAAATAAATATGTATTTGTAAATATATATATATATTTTTTTTTTAAAATAATTGTTTAGTTGAAAGAATGGTTGTATATGCTTGGAATTTGCCGTTTTATTTATATTTTTTATTGATCAAGAAAAAACATGCACCATACATGGATATAACATATTGATAAAACAATTATGCAAATAAAATAAACAAATATATTTTTAACGGAAGCTTTATTTCAAGAAATAAAAATTAAATTTCTAATTGATTTATAAAATTAATAAACAGTCTCTGAGGTCTTCTTCTAAAACTGTTGTTCAGAGACCAGCTATCCTCGACCATAGCACACTGCCGGGATAATTAGGGGTGTTCTATGTCTTTCATAAAGTGGGCATTCTATGATGAAATGAAAGAAAGTTTACACAACAGCCTGGCTTTGCAGTTGCCACAACCTGGTAACACTTGCTTACGTTTCTGTGTTCTGTGTAATTTTTTTTTTTTTTTTTTTTTTTTTTTAATTGAGAGTAGATACTGCCAGGTCTACCTGCCCTTCTGTGAGGTACAACTGTTGTCTCTTCCCGCTCATCAACGGCTGAGTGTATCTCATCTGGTACTCTTGGGACATTTGCAGCACTTTATTTTGGCATGTTCATCCTTCTCAGCTTCTTTAGCCAAACAGTTTGCATCATCATCACTGTTTATTCCTACATTCGACCCAATGGAAAATTGCCTCTCCACCCATTTCATTAACAGTGATCAGCTCTTTCCGTATGCTTTCTACAAGAAAATGACATTTCCTGGGATTTTTAAAGCAAACACGAATATCTGGCTGTCATTCAAAAAATATTTTTTCTAATTGGCGTAGATGTTTAGCTTGTTTTTGCGTTAGTTCCAATAGATACCTTTTAGAACTTAGAAATTCCGCCTTGTTGTTGGAGCATCCTCAAGACTATACTTTCCAAATGCTATTTTCATGTTCACTGCATAATTGCTGTATACAACATTGCCAGGTGATGAAAATGGTTTTCAGCAATCAGGAGTCTTGTCAGATGTATTTCCATGCTATTTTGTGTTGTCATGTTTGATTAGATGTGGTAGCAACCAAACTACATAACCGAAACTCTGTCAGAAGATTAAAAAGAACAAAGCCATATAAACTAGTTTAGTTAAAAAATAGTGAAATGTAAATCTTATTGTACCAACAGGTTTATAACCATTTATTTATTCTATATATATTTTGTTGAAATTGTGAGGAGCAGTCAAGAATGAGGTAGTTTAGAAAAACACTTTTTTTATTTTTTTAAATTTTGCCGATGTTTCAAACTTTATTCGGGTCATCTTCAGGACTTACAAAACATACGTTGATTGGAAAAAGTACAATTTAAGATTTAAATATAAATTTTGAACCAAGTATTTCATACTCACATAAAGTGTGGTGCTATTCTTGTGGCGTCATGGTTTTGTGCGAAAGCGCGAAACAACCCAAAACCAATATGACAAGAAGCAAGAAATAGCACCACAATTTATGTGAGTATGAAATACTTGATAATGTTCTCTTGGTCATTATCAGAGATATGATCAAATAAAATATTTTTAATTTTAAATCTTTGCCTAGCTTATGTCATTTTCTTATATATATTAGACATTAAATAGGCCAAAATTAAAATGTATAATATATCCATTTGTGGAGCCCTGAAGAAGGTACAATAAAGTTCCGAAAGCTAGGCGAAGATTTAAAACTAAAATATTTTATTCGATCATATCCCTGATAATAACCAAGAGAACATAATCTGCATAAGGGTCTATAAATCTAAAAAACATGAAACACTTGGTTCAAAATTTATATTTACATCTTAAATTGTATTTTTTCCAATCGGCATATATTTTGTAATTTACACAGGCCCTGAATAATATAATAATAATAGTATACTTTATTATTTGTATAGTACATAACAATTAAACACAATTAATTAAGTATTATACAGCATGGAAAAAGAAAATCCCTAGGTCATTGGCTAATATAAAGAAGTGATAGTGCCCTCTTTTTTACAATTAACGGAAAAAGTAAGAATTACTTAATAAGGAAAACAGTTAAAGAAAACAATGATGATAAAAGAAAAACAAAGATTCATTAGAAATTCCTTTTTTCCTAAAGTATTTTGCCAAACCATCTGACCCTGAACTCTCATAAAATAGTGCACACTGTCACATAGTCCTCTATTTCCTTCCTATTACACATAGAATATAAATGTCTTTGTTCAGAACGGTTGATATTATAATTCAAACCCAAAATTGTCCTCTAAGTTTAAAAATTACACACATAAAATTAAAACTATTGTTATCAGAAATATAATGATTGTATCCTAGTTCTGAATTCAAATCCTAGTACAAACTATGGAAAAGAGATTGTTGCGCTTTTTACATTTGACTATTTTTATTTAAATAATCAAAAGCTCCAAGTTGCAGACGATTACAAGCACTTACGAACTCTTTGTACCACAGTTTCTTCTTTTGATTTACCTCGGGCAATCTAAAATCCAGTAATGATAAAACTTTTCCAATGTACTTATAATGCAAATGGAGAGGAATTTTGAATATTGGATAATGATTATGACAACAGTGTCAAATAAAGAGTCGTTAATTATAATTCGCTGTTTAAAAACAATCATAGAAAATAAATTTGGATTGGAAGATAAGAAGATCTACATTTAAGCAAACAGTGAGAAATACACAACTAGTATTATAATGTCCCCCATGCTAATAAAACAATGAAATTATTAACTTTAAATATATACAAATATATGCGCTGAAGATGATCCGAATAAAAGTCGAAACGTCGGCAAAAAAAGGTGTTTTTTTAAACAATACTTTTCCAATATAGCAGTTATTTTAACATGTTTTATGTTTTTTGTTTGTTTTGCAGGTACCATTCAAGGTGTTAATTGAAGGGGTGATGAAATTGTACATATTGGTGCAAAAATAAAACAACTTTTTATAAATGGTAAAACATCTAAAATATCAAAAAAAAAATTCAAAACAGTAGTTGTTTTAACTTTAAGTTTTATTTTCTTGACCGCACCTCATGAATCCAACAAATTTTTAAAACTGGTCACTAAAAAAACACAATATATACAAAGATGTAACAGATTTTGTGCCTTGACAATTAATTAAAACATCATTTCAAGTAATTTGATGCAGGTTTCATAATAGAGTATGTCAAAATTTTCCAATGTATTTGTAGTGCAAATACTATACTCATAAAAATCAGAGCTAAGCCTGTTTCTAAATATATAATATAATTTGGTGTATTATATGGGAGATTAAATAATCTATTATATTATTGTATATTAAATAATATTAATTATTGTATAAATATATTATTTAGACAATATTAATAATATTATTAATATAATTATAATTATTATTATAATTATATTAATATAAAATTATTTTCTTAATAGGCCAGTTTTAATTAATTAATTTTAAAATTTATTAAGGGAAAAAGAGCGAGATTAGCTGTCAAATCTCATTTGTTTAATTTTTTGTTTGTTTTGAATATTGGCGGTTTTTAATGTTTACGTTATGTCCTTGAATAGGCAACTGCTCCTCGCGGTTCGGACACGTTTTAGATGAGCGATGCCGGCGCCCTCCGTCGGGTCGTCGCCCTCGACACCGCCGCCATCTTCGCCGAGCCGTTCAGAGACGAGAAAGCCCGGCTCTCAGTCCGACACCGTTTTTAAACCTCATCCTCCGGACGACAATCGGCTCCCCGGGTGTAAAAAGCCGCCAGACACCGGGAACAAGGCCTGCGATCGACGACCAACGCGGAAACCGGGTGAGTCGTCTCTCTATTTACAAACTAAGTCGCGTTACGCACTCTTCCCGCCGTCGGTTCCGTACAGAGCCGGCAAGCCGCGACTTTCAAACCCGGACCTTTCTTTCCACACAAATTCATTTCCCCTTTTGATTATATGTTTTAAATCTTTAAAATAAAATGTTCAATTATTAAAATAAAAAATCACTATTTTTCAATGATAATGAACGCTAAGGTTATATTGTTTTGGTTTAGCCTAGGCGGGAAGACACTTCAAGGTCAGCGTTGCTAAGGCAACCCAATAAACTTTACCGACCCCTCCCCCTTTTGTTAATAAGTCAAAACAATTCCCTCCATTACTTTAAAAAAATCTCATCCATTAAACCCACTGAAAAATTTCTCCGTATAAAAAACCCTCTCTCATTAACAGAAGAAAAACCACCCTTTCCGACACGCATTAAAAAAAAATTGTTCAAAACAAAATTCCGTCGCGTAACATAATTTTTCCAATTGTACACCAAATTTTCAAGTTTTTGCTTTTATTAAAAGGTATTCTGTTTGTGTGAAAACGTAAATAGGCTTTTCTGTTATTGATTTTTTTGGAGGGCTTTTGGTTTGGGATCACGGCGCTGTGCGGCACCACGCTCTCCCCCTCGTACCTTCCTAAACCCCCCTCCCCCCTCCAAGGGAATTAATTATAATTTTCCACCAGGAGAATTAATCTTTTTTCTTTTAAATTGAGTTTTTTTGTTTAAATTATTTTTTGACTTAACGAGATCTCACTTCTTCCGTCGGTTTTTTTTTTTTTTTTTTTTTTTTTTTGCGGGAATTTCACCCCCTTTTTTTATTGGGTTCCGTTAGCCTGGCCTTAGTAACGTCTTATCCACTTTTAAAAATATTCACCACTTTTCAATTTTTTTAAAAGGAAAATTAGATTGAAAAGAAATATTAAACTGAATTTAAAGTTAAAAATAAAATTGCATAGAATGCTCTCTAAATCATCCTAACTATTTCTTATCCTATTTATTTCTTCAAGGGTATTATTCAAATTACTGAAACATTCGGACTTACACATACATATGTTAAAAAAATTAATTAATTAAAAAAGTATTATTCCATATACAAAATGTTAACTCAAAGTACGTATATACTGTAAATTTTTCTTCAAACAATCAGTTCAAAATATAGAACATTTTGTTAAATAGAATAATTTTTTCGTACATGTATTTTTTTTAACACCTTCTGTTATACAAATACACCTCTGCAGCAATTAATTCGGATTTCACTGAAAAAATCGAATTACTGAGGGGGCTAAAATAATACATACATATGCACACAAAAAAATTAACTAATTTAAAAAACATTATTCTGTTTACAAAATGTTAAACCTAAAATGCATGCATAATGTACTTTTTTTCTTCGAACAATCAGTTTAAAAAAATTAACATTTTGTTAAATAGAAGAATTTTTTTGTTCATATGTATGTATTTTTTTAACACCTTCTGTAATACGAATACATCTCTGTAGCAATTAATTCGGATTTTGCTGAAAAAATTCGAACTACAGAGGGTATTAAAAAATAAGTACGTATGTACAGAAAAAAATTAATTTATAACAAAAAACTTATTCCACACACAAAATATTAAACCTATTGTAGTACATATATGCTGTAAAATTTTCTTCAAACAATTAGTATAAAAAAATTAACATTTTGTTAAATAGAAGAATATACAAAACGTTACAGCTATTACAAAACATATATACTGTAAATTTTTTGTACAGTCGGTTTAACAACGTTTTGTTAAATAGAACAATTTTTTTGTACATATGTACCTATTTTTTTAACACCCTCTGTAATCCGAATTTTTCAATAATCTCAATACACACGGGCATAGAGGGTGTATAAAAAATATATGTATGTACACAAAAAAATTAATAAATTAAAAAAACTTGTTATTCCTTATACAAAAGGTTAAACCTTCTACAATACTGTAAATTGTTCTTCAAACAATCACTATTAAATAAATAAAGTAAAATAAAGAAAAAAATACATACTTAGCATTTTTTTAAATGGACGATTTTTTTTTGTACATATGCATATATTTTTTTAACCCTCTCTGTAATCCGAATTTTTCAGTAATCTGAATAACCCCCACACACAGCAATTAGTTTGGATAACAAAAAATTCGGATTACAGAGTGTGTTGAAAAATATTGTACTTATGTACAAAAAAAAAAAAAAAAAAAAAAAACTTTTTTAACAAAACTTTTATTATTACTTTTTAAATACTGGTTGAAGAAAAATGTACAATAATGTGTATTATAAAAAGGTTTAACATTTCATGTATGGAATAATTTTTTTATTGTTTGCTTTTTATTTATTTATTATAAATAAATAAATACCCCTGCAGCAATTAGTTTTGATTACTGAGAAATTCGAACTAAAGAGGATGTTAACAAAAAATTATTGTTCCATATACAAAATGTTATACATCTTACAGGCTGAAGATGATTATAAAATAATTGGAAAGCTTCCCATGTAAATAATCCTGCTGGAACTAAAGGCATATATTTATTTATAAAAAACACCATTATGGAGTTCCACACTCAACATCTTTATTATAATACTGTAATATTTTTTCTTCAAAAATCACTTTTTTTTTTAAATTACTTAACATTTTGTTACCTAAACATTTTTTTTTTACATATGTATATATTTTTTTAACACCCTCTGTAATCTCAATTATTCAAACTAATTGCTGAAGGGGTGTTCATACATGTGTTACTCCATATATAAAAGGGTTGATGTTGCTATGGTTTCCACATGACTGAATCCATTCGCCATTGATGAGGATGAGCCCAAGGATGGCTAATATGTTGGCAACCAACATTCGTCCCAGTATATTCATTGTCTTTGATTAAACATAGTGTGTATGCACCTTTAAAAGAAGTTCCTGCGATTTTTAATAATAAAATTTGGTGCTATTTTGTTTTGTCATTCCTCTTTGTTTTACCTCTTGTAAATATTGTTCTTGTAAAACATTTCTCACCTCATCGTTATAGGATGTAGGACAGTCAAAGCCTTTCTTGCGATGTTCTCCAGGCTGTTTGCCTAGTCACGCAACACCCATCAATTCCTGAGAGGCTTCCATTACACAGCCCCCCCCCCCAGTTGTCAAGCATTAGATTTACAGCCTATCCTAAAAAAATCAAAAAAATCTTTAAACTATTGCTTCATTAACTATTAGTTCAACTTATTTACTTTATTTCATGTTAATTAATTTGTTTTTCTCTCCCAGGTTTAAAATGGATATGTATTTTGAGACTAATAGTGACATGCTGTCGCTGAATGAGATGCTGGAGGGAGATATGAAGTACTCGCTTGAATTCGAGGTCGACCTGATGAAAGAAAATGGCCTCGGCTGCATCAATGGCGGCATTGGCGGTGGGTTCAACGACGACTGGCACGACTGGACTGAACAGTCGACACAGAACCTTTCGCTCGACCTGCTCGCTGTCGACGCCGGGCCGGGCCTCATGGTCAATCCGAAGCTTGTTATACCAGTCAAGCCATACTCTCACTACAACGTCGAAGTCAACGACAGCCTAAAGGCCAAGAAGATGTTGAATGCTGTTGAGACTCGAACGGAGAAGAAAATGGCCGAAGAGGAAGAGGAGGATGATGAAGAGGTTGAAGACGATGAGGAAGAAGGCGAAGAAGAGGAAGACGATGATGAGGAAGAGGATGATGAGGAGGAGGAGGAGGAGGAAGAAAACGAGGATGAAGAGGAAGATATGGAAGTCGAGCCAAAAACGTCAAACATCACACAACCTCAACACAGCAATTGGAACAACGTAAGAAATTTAATCTCCAAAATATTTATTTGTTTATTCTTATTTGTACTTCTTATTTTTTTAGATTTTAAAGACTAGAGAAGGAAAAGACTCATCGGGACGGCAAGAACAAATGGAAGAAATAAAACATTCACCTTTCCCGATTAGGCCAAAGCCGGTCGAGAATGGCATAAAAGTGTCAGGTGGAAAGCCGATATCAATGGTTTGTTGATTTTTTAATTTTTACTATTATTATTTTTTTTAATAATGATTTTTGTCTTGTAGATGATTAAACCAAAAAGGCCACAATTGAAGATGCAACCAACGTATATTAAAGTGAATCAGGTGGAGTCTCTTATCAAACAGCACAGTCAGAACCAGAAGGCGAAAAAGATGGCTCAGATGGCAAAATCGACGCGTTACCTTGAAGACTACCCAAAGCCAGCGTACTCGTACTCATGCCTGATAGCCATGGCGCTTAAGAATTCGAGGACGGGCAGCCTCCCGGTGTCAGAAATCTACAATTTCATGTGCGAACACTTTCCTTACTTCATATCGGCGCCGTCCGGCTGGAAGAACTCCGTGAGGCACAACCTTTCGCTCAACAAGTGTTTCGAAAAGATTGAAAAAGGCAATCCAGGAGGAGGCGGATGCCGGAAGGGCTGCCTTTGGGCGATGAACCCGGCCAAGATCTCGAAGATGGACGACGAGGTGGCAAAGTGGTCGAGGAAAGACCCGAAAGGTATAAGGCGGGCGATGCGTTACCCAGATTATCTTGAGAAGTTGGAGCGCGGAGATTTGAAGCTAAAGCCTGTCGGGAACCGCAAGGATTACATCGAGCTCATCGACGGTTGCGACGAGGACTACATCGAAGAGATTGAGGAAGTCAACGATGAAGATGAAGAAGAAGAGGATGATGATGATGATGATGACAATGGAGATGAAGACGCAGAGGAGTCTGAAGAAGAAGACGAAGAAAATGACAGGACGGTAGTGCAGGTTGGAGACACCGATTCCGAAGACGAAGGCGAAGTCCCACCATCCCTCAAACCCTTCGACTCCAGGCTAGCCGACATGGACCTCGGAATCGACGTAAGGAATTATAGGAAGAAATTACATTTATATAATATAATATATTTTATTTTGTCAAATTAAATAACAGATCCCTGAGGACATGTACAAAGAGCTGGACCTCCTTCAGGAAGTGATGAAAGAAGAGGACATCTACCGGTCAGCCAAGAGGCAAAGGCTGCACACGGTCACGATATCGCCAGCGCTTCAGAGACAGTCTGTGAAACCTGTGTGATACAAATTTTTTTTACCCTTAAGTGAGTATTTTTCAGTTAATTTCTCTTGTCTTTTTTCAAATCTTTGCATTCTAGTTTACACCTGCACAAATAGTTATCAACAATTACGTAATAATTGAGAATACAGGGTGTCAGACTACTTGCATCACATACAGTTGGCCCCGTTGCTATGTGGAGAAGGGTAGGAAATTGTTGAGCCACGGTATTTTTGGTAAGGGATAAATACCGAAACGGGGGGGGGAAGGAATAGGGTTAAAGAAAGGAAAGGAGAGAAGAAGGAAACTAAAAAGAGAAAAAGAAATAATACCGGAGTTAGGAGTTGAACCCACAAATTTCGAGACCCAAGGCGGTGATTGTTACCACTAGGCCATAGGCGCCAATCGAGCCTTGCCGCATCCAGCCGGCTCATCCGATCTGTGCCCGTGATCCCAATCGAAACTGGGGCCAAATTCAATCTCCGGACTAATAGAAAAAGAGAAAGAATGAGATACCACTGCCCCACTCATAATGGGTATTGTGAGGGGCACTATTAACAAATCAGCGTTAATGGCTGGTTGAAAAAAACAAAAAACAAATTGTCATTAATGACGGGTTGTAAAAAAATTAAATAAATAAATAAAATAATAAAAAAATAAACAAGAGAAATCCATATACAACTTATAATTATTCAGTAGAATTATGTTATAAAAAAAGGAGAAAACATGAACAAAGTAAATAAACCTACCCTTCGCCGGCCTTTAACTTATCCACAAAATCATAAAGGTTAAATCCTACATTTATAAACTAAAATACCTTAATTTAAATTAACACGTAAACTTGAAATTTTTATTTCTAAACAGCTATATGTATATACAAAAGGAACAAACAGTTCAACGATCCATGCAGAGTAACGTTCGGACAGCAGCCTTGGTCGGTGAAAAGCTCCATCCTCATTGACCCGAAATCCTCTGGCAAATCTTACCATCGACTCGACTGAGGGAAGAAGGCTGGGTCTTCTGAGATGAAATCCATGGGCTGTTCACGCTTTCTTGCTCGTCAAGTCCTCTCTCTCCTCTCTGACATGTTGTGGGCCTCGACGCCCACGCTCGTGCTGTCTCCTGACACTCACAGCTTTCACGCCAAAGTTTAAATTTTCACAAGCTTAAATAAAAACTCGGATATTTCTTTTTTTCCACACGCAGGCACAGGCAAGCCATTATTACTTTCCTTTAAATAAACGTAATATGACAAATAAATTTCCCTGTACAACTGTCTGATCATCAGCTGTAAGGGAGGAATTTCAATTTTTCAACGATTTTGTGAACAACACCGTTGAAATAAACTTTAAATTCCACCCTTTGTCAGACCCGTGAATTATTTTCCTAGCATCCTAGAAGTCACTTGAAATATGGGAAAAAATGATTTTCTGAATTCATTTATTTTTTAATGCCTTTGCGAATTCAAGGAAGCAGCAAATTTTACAAAAAAAAAAAAAAATCCTCCATTTAATATTCTTTTCAACTGTGTAATTACTTTTTGAAGTGAAACTTCCTTACACTCAATAGAGTAAAATCATTCAATGTGATGAAAAAAGTGAATGCCACTCTACGCAGGCGCTGACAACTGTTTCTCACTTTATAAAAAGATAGTTTCTACTTACAGTTAGTTGTTTTCGACACTCTGGATTTCAAGCTTATAGCATTATATATAAAATGCACAGATGTTTACATACTCTGATTAACTTATATTCATTCTCTTTCTTCTCTGTTCCAGGTACATTTTACCAGATGGTATAAAAAAAAGTGAAAAATAAAAATTAAAAAAAAAAAAAAAAAGGACCGACTGGGAATATGATGACGACGACAACTTACGCGTGTAAGAGAACACAAATACTTCTCCTTCATAAAAAAAGCAAACAAATTTAAATAAGCATCCCCTCACCTCCACTGTACAAACATAAATCAACTACGCTGAGTTGAATTTTATCTTCATTGTCCTTGTTTTTCTTTTTTTGTTAAAATTTTTATATTTAAAGGGGGAAAAAATGAAAAGGAAAGATAGGCAAAGAATTTGGGTTTGGATTAAAGAAAGTGAAAAAAAAGAAGTTAAAATCCCAGTTTGCCACCCCACCTTCTCTTATCACCCTTAAATTAGTCGTATCCATTTAAAATTTCTTGACTTTTTAAATTTAAATTGATCAATTTGACAAAGAAAAAGTATTAATTATTTTATAATTTTTTTAAACTAGAAAAAATTATTGAAAAAAATTCCATTTTACAAAAAAGGGAAAAAAAATTTTTTTTGTAAAATATAAATTTTTTTCGTATGTTTTTTGAGACTGACTTATTTGTTAAGACAGGTCAATATTAATTTTTTTAAACAAACATATATATATATATATATATATATAAAATGTTTACACATACATATATATTAAATGAAATGAAAATGTTTTCCTCTTAGGATTAAATTAAATGTAATTAATTATTAATTATTGAGCCTGAGCCTACGATAATTTTTTTTTGTAGACCTTTTTGAATTGGACAAATCTGAGCTTGTGATTTTTTAAAAAAAATCTTAATCGAAAAAGAAAAAAATCACGATTTTCGATTTTATTATTTCTACCCCATGCTGTTCCTTTAGGCGTATGACATTGCAAGGCTCGCTTGTAATAATATGGGTCGGTATGGTTTTATTCGACCGATGTTCGACCCTCCCCCCACCAACCCATTCCCTCCCACATTCAAGAGGCAGATTTTTATACGAAGGCCGTTGCGCCCCCCGGCCAAAAGATAAAATTTTTTATATATTGAAAATTTGATTTTTTTTTTTTTTTTGTAGTTTGTATTTTGTAAATAAAACTTTTTTTACGATAATATACTGGGTAGATTTCCCCTTTTTTCTATACATCCCTCCCTCTCGACGATTTGATCCTTACCTATCTTAACCTGTCGGGTAAGGATCAAATTTCACATTCATCACCTTAAGGAACAAATGTCAAGTAAACAAAGGTAACAAAATATTTTTATTAACATATAATATTGTTGATTATAATTAACTTTTTTTTTTATAAACGGTGATTCAGCAGGTCCGGCTGTACTGGTGCCAGTCAAATCTGTATCATGTCAACAGTGTTGTCTGGTGTTGAAATCTCTTCAACATCCTGCAACAGGAAAATGTAAAAAAATATTTGAAAAAAAACCCCCACAACCAATGGAATATCGCTTGGAACCTGAATCGAAGATAATTTTATACCTGCGATATCCGGTTCTTGATTCTATGGTCAATATGTGTAAAATTATAACATAAAATTACATCAAGAAGGAAAGTGTACATTAAGTTTAATAAATATGATATTTACCTATGTACAAGAGAGATATTTAATCTTGGAAAGTCTTAAGGTATGTTTTCTTAATTTAATTTGTCAGTGGGTTAAAAAAAAAAACAAACATGTATTTAAAGATGTGAGATTCTTATCGGCTAGTTGATTCTGTGCCACCTTGTGTATAAACAAATTCAAAATCTCAAAAAAAATTTGTGATTCGGATTCTCAGCAACACCTGAACTCATCGGACTAACACAGTCTGTCAGTGAGATTTTGAAAGCGCAAACGGCAAAGAGATTATTGTGTAAGAGAGGAAAAAAAATTACTTTCAGCCTTTCTTCCACCCTGGCCATTGTTTTGGATGCCTGAATGAGAAGTCGGGCCGTGTCGTCGCAGATCGGCGTGCCCAGATCAGACTCTGTAATGCTACGCGCCAGGTCGACTATACGGCGTAGGTCGTGCAAGTCGCCCTCCGATATTCTCCAAGCGGGCAGGTAGAGCGATCCACAAAGTCCAACTAACTCCTTGCACCGTTCGTCCAGGCGATCCGTCTTGGTTGGCTGTTTTTCGACAAGCCTTATACGAGTATGACTGTTTAAAACAAAAAATCACAAAAGTAAGTTGAAATAAAAATGAAATTTACGTATAAAAATGTTTTTTAAATAAAATAAATTATAAGTGTGAGTAGGTTGTAATCTTGAATTATTGGACTCTGTGAGCGTTCTTTTCCCTCCTATTGAAGAGAGGCAGAGGTTATACCGATCCTAAGAACTGGCATACTAGAAACTGAAGTCTAGGAGGAAAGGTAATGAACTGAAAGAAACTGACATGGCATTCATCAACGGAAGGCCTGGGGGGTGGAATTGGATCTCATCGACCCTGAATTTGGTTCTAACCCCCTTCAAAAATGTTTCTTCGATGGAATTAATTAATTAAATTCACACACGTGTTTCGAGCCCCCAAAAATGGAGTCAGGAATAAAGTACAATAAGCTGTACTAAACAGCTGCAATGCTCAGGGAAAACTCCAGTTCCTGTATCCTTAAAAAAAAAAAAAATTTATCAAGAAGAGAGTATATTCTATGCGGGACAAGTTTTACAAACAGCTCCAATAGTAAAATCCCTGGGGAGTCACTTTTAACAGAAAACTAAAGTGGTTTCCTTATGAATGAATGAAAACTGTTATATTTACAATATAAATCAAAATATAATAGAGAGAAGAAAAATTATAGTATCTGTTAATACAGCAGTGTTGAACCATTATTATAAACATGTTTTTTTGATAGACTATTAACGGATACTTTACATACAACAATCATTTTTACAAATTTGGCACAACTATTTGGCATAGCCATGGGTAGCAACCTAGGGCCCGATACTTGCAGACATAATTATGACACATCTATTAAACAGTTATACTAAAACTTCCTTTCATATTAGCCTCCCTCACTAAATACATAGATGATACATTGACACAGTTATCCCAGATCAAATTCAAACTACAGTAGATATATTTAACAGCTTTCACCCATGCCTACAGTTTACACATGGAAAAAACACTTGAGTTAAAACAGCCAGATGGGACATTAATCACAGATCAGTATCCAAAACCTAGAAACACAGATCACTACCTCAACTATACATCACACCCTTCATACAATAAACACAGCCAAAGGGCTACTTCACAAAATTATTACCCTGAGCCATGAATCTTTTCACCACAAGAGCATAAAGATATACAATGATATACAAACATATCCTAAATAACAATATCTACCATAAATATCAACAACTACAACTCAACACTAACACCATCCACTATCACTAATAACACTACTTCAATAATATCAAAGGCAAATCAACATACATTACATTCGTTCACGGCTTATCACAAACACATTTCTTTCTTCTGATAACTTAAAAATAGCCTTCAAAAACTGACTGTAAAACTATTCATTTTTTTTTTTTTTTTTTAATTAAAAATCCCACACGTGTAACACATAAGTTTGATGTAATTTACAAATTCAATTATATAAATTATCCAGCAACTTACATCGGAATTACATCCCAATATCTGGATAGTAAAAAAAAAAACCTACAGCCACTGGCTATCCGCCTTTTTGAACACCAACAAATTTCAATTTCAACAACCCAAAAAACATCTTTTTAAAAATGGTTACATCAACAGAGATAAACACAGCATCGGTTACAGGACGGACACATGTAAACACTCTTTGGATATAAATAACACACAAATATAATACATCTTATAAAACAATCATTACCCCCACACATCAGACAATTCTACATAGTCTAAATTCCTGACAATTTATCTCTCCTTTTCCTAATAATCCCATCTATAATAATCCTGAAAGGCTAACTAAGCCCGAACGACAAACCATTACATTTTTTTTCCATTGTCGGTCTCTTTCACCTCAGAGAAAAATGAATTTCTATCCCTACTTCCTTCCTCACTCCTTCAAAATCAAACATATATAAAAAAATTATATCTTACTAACACTCATAAATGTGACACATCTACACAGAAAACACACTTTGAGTGAGTACTAATACTTTGATAAAACCTAAAATTTCCATGTTGTATACATCATAGTACAAATTCATATTCACTTCTTGCAAGTATTTGTATAATTTAAACAATGTTTATAAATCCCAGGCACTGAAAATAATCTCAATAAAGACAGAAATGCTGGGACGATGAAGAAAATGTTTTATAAACCTACATCACACCAGAATCTACACCTCCAAAATTTCTAAACAATCAAGAAAAAGAAGAAAAGTAATTTTCTCTAGATTGCGAACAGGTCACATCATGCTGATCCATAATAGGCAACAACCTTCCAACTTGTCATCGATGTATTCAAAGTGGCTGTAAAACATATTTTGGTCGAGTATCACACTTTGCAACCGTTAAGGGAAAGGTTCAACATTTCGAGTGATTTAAAGGAGTTACTAGGTCGTCAGTGTTTGTTAAATTTATTGGAATTTATAATGAGATCTTTTCACAAATTTGAATGTTTGTCTGCTATGTTTGAATGAGAGTTCTGCATGCAAGATTTCCTTCCTTTTTCAGAGATTTTGAGGCTGCCGGAGTGAAAAAATAAAATAAAATGAAATTAAAAAAATACAAATTGCAGGGCAATAAATTAAAATGCTCAAAATTGCCATTTTAATAAGGAAAAATAGCTAAAAAAAAAAAAAAAGTGTTATTGTGTTTTTGTTTTATTATTACTGCTAAGAAGCATTAATGTATTTATAGTACTGTAATCCCTTAACTCTCAACGGTTTTCACTATTCACGTATCACATTTTAATTTATTTCAAAGTGACAATGTGATTTAAATTTCATGATTAGGCCTAGTGTAAAAATAAAAGAGGATCTGGACAATGAGGACAGTCGAGTCTAGAAAACAAGTCTATTCCGTGTAGATGATAGACAAAAGAGGTGGAAGATCCTGACAAGAATTTAAAAAGTGTTGGATTCCCTAAAATAGATTGCTTTGGTACAATCAGATTGACTGTAAATAGTGAGTACCCATCCACCCTTGGCAGTCTGGCAAACGGTTTGCATGAAATTACTGTTTATTTAAATTTAAAAAGTTTTGTTTGTTTAAAATTTAAAAAGGAAATTGGGAAGTTTTGACATTTGCAGAAGTCTGATTTCTTTATTCACCAAAAAAAGGTTGTGTAAACAATTTTTGTATTGAAAATAATTATTTATTTAGAAATCGTGAGATGCGGTCTGGTGTGATGTACGTTTCGGAAAAATATTTTCTTTATCGTGCCAACGCTTTGATCTTTATTGAGATCATCTTCAGGGCTCAAAGTGTTTGTCTTCAGTGTAATTGTGCCATTCTTGCGTGTCGTGTCGAGAGTGAGCACTCTTCTAAATAAATATCGATTAAAGGGTCACTAATCACCACACATTGAAAATAATTCTTTAAAAAAATGGATTGGAGGCTCCAATTGACTCTCAGAAAACTTCTGCCTGCATTCCATGTTCCTCCTTTCTTCTCATTTTGTTTTATTCTCTCGTGGAGTTTGTGTCGCAAAATGCCTAAGAATAACAATTTTGGACATATTACTTTTTACATTTTCTATGCAGGCCAAAGCTTTTCTTCAAAACAGCTCAGGGAAATTTTAACCTCGAGGGACCAGCTTATTAAAAGAGCAATGGATTTCAACCCATCTTTAAATCTAAGTTTTAAGTTTAAAAGGAATGTTGAGGACGTTTCAAATCTTTAAGTGATAATTCTTAAATAAATTAATTATTTGGCGAAACAGCGAATAATTAAGTCATTTCTTTCCTTGCACATCAAAAAATACAAACAATGAAACAACATGTTCAAACACTGTTGTCTTCTATTACGTTTATTTTAATTCAATAATAAACTTTACATTCATGGCAGTTTTCTGGAACCAAGCACCTGAAAATGTTAAGGGATTACTGTTTTTGAATAGAAGAATAAAAGGATAATGATAAGCCTGTTGCTCTATACTCCATTATTACTATTATTGGCCACACGACCCTATGGAAATGTTTAAATTATGGAACAAAAATTCAAAATTCTAACTAAAGAATAGGAATAAATTTTATAATTTAAAATGGGATTTTTGCAAGGGTGGATCCCAGGTTGATCATAAAAAAATCCAACCTTATACCCATTTTTATTCTGTTTTATTTGATTTATTTTTTAATTTATTATTATTATTATTTATTTATTTTTTATTTTTTATTTTTTTTTTAAGGCAACAGGGGACCTAAAAACATGCAAATCGAGATAAAACTCTACACATTGTTTTTTGTCCTGATGCAATACTTTCTCCTCCTTCAAAGGTAAAATTGAAAAAAATAAAATTTTAAAAAACCCTCACAACAGTAAGGAGTGAAAGGTAGATTTCTTTCTTTTGCAGATTCCAACCAGCAGGGGTAAAAATTTGCTTCTTTAAGAGTGAAAGGTAGATTTCTTTCTTTTGCAGAATCCAACCAGAGGGTTAAAAATTTTTACTACTTTAAAATTTATGGTGTATATTATTATTTATTTTATACATAACATAACGTCATAAACATATTGCAACAGGATAAAAAATAATAATAATTAAATGTTTTTGTTCCTATTAACAGCTTACGTTAATTAGATTCGGTTCATTTTTCCTCGAATCCACTCAAAATAATCAAAATAAAATAATAGTTTACTAGTTAACTACCTAATTTTATTTAAGGTATTTAATTAATTATTTTCTCACGACAATATGAGATTTACAGAAAATGATGTGTGATGGCCACATCATATTTTTTAATAATATACACAATTTTAAGGACTTTTGTTTTTTACTGCAATTTCTCTATTAATTTAAAAGAAATCTTAGCATATTTGGTAACAAGAAATTAACAAACGTCTACGGTTTCATTTTCTTATATTTAAAAAAAATTAATTTGTGCTGTTAAACAAAAGAAATCTGGTTTGGAAGTACCGTATTTGAGAAAAAATATCCTGATTAAAAATGGTATTTTTTTCAAATTACTTTAACTTTTAAAATATTGCTTGGATTTGAGCCAAACCAGGCTTAAAAGTCGCTGGAAGAATCTGGTACCAATAAATGTGAAAATCCAATAGTGAGGGGGTGAAGTTAAACAAACCGAGCTGGTGGTGGTTGTGCTTACAAATTAAATATATTCAAAGGACAAATGAAAGCTTTGGATGGCAATAGGAATGATTAGTTTATGAGTGAATGTTTGGAGTCAGAGCTTTATAGAACTCAGAAGTTATATAGCTAACTTAAGATAGAAGGTTTAAATGTTAATGCGTTAATGATACCATCTTAGCTGTTAAAATGCCCTTAAAAATTATTAATAAGGTTTTGGCCAGAGCAAAATAGGCCTGCACTTTGACCCTTTGAATCTTCTGATAAACCTCTCCCTTTGTCCTTTTTGCAGTAGTTCTGATTTCTCTGTCTCCCAGTGTAAATCTATTGTGAACGAAAAACCTCTTCTCAGATCACCTCTCAACACTTTTTTAAAAAACCTCTCCTGTGAGAACCTCTAATATTCTGCTTCAATTTTCCTTGAATATTTCCCAAATTTCCCATCCTATTCTTCACTTCCTGAACTACAGGTTGTTCTATGGCATTGCAATGGGGCCCCAACCTCGCTATGACCTTCAGTGAATGATTTTTTTTATACAGTCCACGCCAAATCGTAAGTTTTTTTCACTTTATTTACATTTTATTTTAATATCCAGCCAAAACAAATAATAATAATTATTATTATTGAAATAGTATGTATAACTGTTTTGAATTATTAAAGGGGCAGTGGCATTTTTCAATAATGGAGTCTTGAGTAGTTTAGATAATTATGAAGTAATTTATTTGTGTTAATGGTGATCTACTTCATAATTTTCAATGTAAAGATAATAATGTCAATAAGATCATCAGACATGGTCTCTCAAGGTATTTATTATATTATAACTATATTTCAATTGACAATATTAAATAATTGAGAAGATCAAATAGGCATAATTGAAAAAAGGCTTAAGTCAGGGCCTTGTTTGTTTTTGTGGTTGAATTCTTGTAAACAGTGTATTTTGGATAGTAATAATAAAAAACAATAAAGAAAAGATGGAAAAAGTTGGAAATGGAGCCGTTTTGAATGAAGAGGACAATCTTTCGGAGAAGAGCGTATCAATGGAGGCGCTGCTTCTCTCTGACGACAGCGAAGACGGCTATCTCACCGACTTGGGCGAAAGCAATTGTGAGCCTGACCCTCTCGGTACGGAGATGAGCGGAAGCTTAAGAAAGCGAGCCGGGGTGCTCGAAGCATACCGAAAGCTCCAGTCGTACCTTTACTCCGGCCCCACCCCAGTACAACGCGGCATGACCAAATCTGACGTTCTCGTCGAAGCGTACGAACGACTCAAAACGCTCCGGTCTGAAGAGGCGAGACAGGAAGTCGTGCTCGAGATGCTCGTACAACAGAATTACGCTTTGAAATGCAAGCTCAAAAGGAGCAAGCGTAAACGCGATGCTTCAGCCAAAAAGAAAACTATCTGTTAATAATTTTTAATAAATCTCTCTTTAACTGTATGGTTTTTGTTTTCAATTAAAATCAGGCTTAAAAATGGAAATTTTACCTGGGACGCAGGCGCAGACCTCTACGCAGGATCTTGTAGCGACAGAGGGCGACTAGCACAGCGAACGAAGACACGAACACAACGCCCAGAAGAAGAAGCAGGAGGCCCAGGAGCTTCTCCATGTCTGTCAAGCCTGGACAATAATCAGTAGAACATCCCATCTGACAACTGTCAGCATTGACAGAAACCACCTGTTGTCGTTATTCTCCCTTTTATATTTTCAATACAACCCATTACAATCGACACATTTGAACTCCTCAAATCTATAAGATTTAAAAAAAGGTAAAGATCTCATATATCATCATACATCATAATATAAGTGTTATTGAATATAATCCTGTTCTATGAGTTGTAATTTGTAACAACAGTGATATGTCATCAGACTTGTTTCTCACGGCATAAATTCCTATTGGATCCCGCCTTTTTTGTTCAAATTTTAAAATTACATTTAAGATGAGAATTTTTTTAATCCTATACATTTGTCTTTATTTTATAGTGTCGACTCTTGTTAATTCGAATTTCTTGGTAATAAGAATCCCTCATCAGGTCACTTTGGTGAATCGACAATATTCTGTCCATTTCGATACACTCGGTAATACGAAATATTTTTCCTAACAGGGGAAAAAAAATTAATGAAACGAAAAAGTTTTCTAAATTTGAACAAATTGTTTACTTTTCTCACAGCCTAAAATTTCTTCGAGTTTTATCTTGTTTACATTCTGCAGTCACTGTTTTGTTCTCAGCACTGGTCACTTCGAAAGATCATTTAAACAAAGGACATCAGGACAGTTTGAAACAAAAACCACTTCACGATTTTTATTTGTTTTTAATAATGTGTAACAATGTTCAATTTTACACAATTATTTAAAGATCGTGGCGGTCTGGTGTGATGTAGTTTGTAGATGTAGATGTAATTTCAGGGTATAGTATACTGCGCCCTTTAAGAGCTATTGTATCCCCTGTGCTCTGCCTAAAGCACATCGGTGAGTCCTATTTCATCAAGAAACTTGATTAATAGGCCCGGTTTCAGTGGTTGAAGCTCTTCTATGGTCACATTGTACATCCCAAAACACTTCCTCCTGCGGGCTAGTGTAGCTCCGCAGTTTGTTAGTAAGTGTGTTGGTGTCTCTTCTGCTTCTTTGCAGAATCTACATGTGCCATCTTGGATTATTCCAATTTTCTTTAGATGTCCATTTAATCTACAGTGTCCTGTCAGGAATCCTGTTAGGATTCGCAGTCTATTCCTGCTTCCTTTGACACATTCTGTGATTTCTTTCTTGCCAAAGTTGGTTAGAAGATTCTTGGATTGTCTATGTCCAATAAGTGAATTCCAAAGTTCGCTCATTTTCTTTTTGTCCTTCTGTCTGAGATATTCGTTAATAGTGTGTATTCCTATTCCACAGAAGGGTTCGGGTCCTATTAGCGGTGTGGCAGCCCCTTTTCTTGCAAGGGTGTCCGCTTTCTCGTTGCCTTCTACTCCCATGTGTCCTGGGACCCAGCAGAGGCTGACTTTATTCTGCGAACCTAATATGTTTAATTTGGTTTTGCAGTTCAGCACCATCCTTGAACTAATGGTATTTGAGCTTAGTGCTTTGATGGCTGCTTGGCTATCTGACATGATAGCTATATTCTTGTTTTTGTATCCTTTATTTAGATTGAATTGGATACATCTTTCAATTGCGTGAATCTCAGCTTGGAAGATACTGGTATGTTTTCCATGGGTTCTGAGTATTTGGTTCCGGGTCCAAATACTCCTGCCCCCGTACCTTCTTGTAGTTTAGAAAAAACATTTTTCTATCGTGCCAATGTTTCAATATTTATTTTGATCATCTTCAGGGCCTGGGATTTATAAACATTGTTTAAATTATACAAATACATAAAATATGTGAAAATGAATTTTTGCAACGATGAACACAATTACAGAAATTTAGGTTTAATCAAACTATTTGTGCTCATTCAAAGTGTGCGTTTTCTGTTTAATATTTATAAAAAATATGACACAACACTTACAATATTTTAATTGCATTTGTCATGTTGAATATGTCCTTATTTTCAATTGTTGTTATATGTATATTATTATTATTTATGTTTCAGTTATTCATTATTACTTATGTATATTTTAAACTCTTATAGAACTTATAACTGTGTATATTTACCCATATAAATAAATAATTTAATAAAATTGAAACAGGGAATTCAGATACTCAAATTGGGCGGCAGACCTACACACTCTCTATATAAAGCCAAGGAGTTGAGCCCTTTAATTACGCATGACGTACCGAGCAACCTTTCTCTACATGCTGGACAAATCCGGCTTTGGCCCAAAAGACAAAATGTATAGGCTACCCCAATTTTTTTATAAAATCATATTTCTAGAGATGAAGACTAAAAAATTAATTTAGGCTGTACAAAATTTCAAGTAACAATGTTTTAGTAATAAACATTATTCCTGTAACAAACTGATTTGGAAAGAAAAGGTTGGAAAATTTCAATAAAGTAGATTAAAGCTTTGGCACACAGGGGAATGAAGAAGCAGACTGAAAGGAAAAAAGCAGCGATAATCGAGGACCTAACAGAAGCTTTCAACCTGGTACCGATATCACATATAGTAAGAACATCAAGAGAGAAACTTCAACTAGAATGGGATGAAATGTGGCTGAACACTGACAACGGATGTCACACCAAAAAATTTTATCCAGCAATAACACAACATCTAAGAATAGAGATCAAATACTCAGATTTTCTCTGGCCACGGAAAAAATAAAGCACACCTAAAAAGGTATTAGATTATTGAGGATGATTTGCGGATGAGCATGGGATGGAGCCCAAAATTTGACAAGGAAAGATTCAATTTGATTCGTGGGACCCAATCAATTAATTCGTATTACAAGAACAATGGCCACCAACATTTTTAGAATTAATTAACACATTTAAAATTTTTTTTTTTATTTATTAAAAAACTCAACTTTGACTTAATTTAAAATATTCAAGATGTAATAGTTTTAATTCAAGACATCTACGTGCAATGCTAATAATTATATTTAAAGTGTATATAAATATATCATTGTAAAACACATGTCATATGGAGAATGTGGTAAATAAATTGTCTCTTATTAGGTGTACCAGTAAGAGGGAAGGAAAAAAACCTCTCTGATAGCACTTTCCCCCTAGACATAGTAAAGAAAAAAAAAATTAGCGAATATATTATTCAAGAAGTGGGTAAAACACAACACTAAATTAAAGATGATTTTCACAAGAGGTTTAGTTAAAGACTGAAAATGGCCTATAATTTTGTTGCATGTAAATATTGATGCAATACCAAATATTCGTAAACAAAGAAGCAGATAGAATGAAAGAAGAAATTATAACTGTACTTTTGTAATTAATGTTTATTTAAATATATTTTGGTTAAATTTTAATGTTTTGTACAAACTAATAATATATTGGGTTGTCCGGAAAATAATGCAGGATTTTGGTATTAAACAAAAAAAAAGAAACTAGTTACTTTAAAGCAATGTTCTTTAATCAAAATAATNCATTCATACAAATGAGTAATCCTGTAAACGTAAACAGAATATTTTATATAGATTTTTTTTAATGAAAACTTAAAATCCTGCATTATTTTCCGGACAACCCGATAGAAAATGAAGTGAGGCCTATAATTTTGCTGAGGAGTGTAAGTGTCAGTGTGTCGACCTCACACGGCATATCCTTAATCAAGTGACGATGACCCGTATTATTTGTTTTAATTATTTATTGTATACACTATTTATTTGTTTATAGTTAAACCTCTTATGTAATTGTAATAGCAAGAGGAATGTCTTTCTTGCTTTGTAATATATAATGCCGATCTGTAAACTTTGTATATATATTAAACAATAAAGACATATAGTAGTAGTAGTATAATTGTAACTGAGTATATTTGCCCGTATAAATAAAATACATTTCAGGGCGCCCTACACCTAAAATGCAACAACTTCGCCCTTCTGGGTTTGAAATGTTTTTGTTTAATATATTTTTAATAATAATTATTTTTTAAATACAATATTATGGAGTATTTCCTGTTAAATAAAATAAATGTGGGCAATTTAAAAATGGCGGGAGTTCGCGGCCATGCCCATGATGAAAAACATTCCTCATTTGACCCGCCTTTCAAATTTTAATAGTTTTGAACACTAACTATTGTTAAAAATTTTGTTTTATAGTTAAATATTTGTTTATAATTTTTTTTAATGGAATAAACTAGTTGTTTATTAGTGTTACAAAGTTGTAGGTGGACGCCAGTGCCGACAGGATCGTGGGACTGAAGACTTCTTGAGTAACCTCCCCGGCTCGGTCCAGTCCGTCCCTCCGGCCTACCTCGCCATCGAACGCCGTCATCGTTTTTTAATTTCCGTTTGAGGAAATTCGTTTAAATCTGTCGAGGTTTTTTTAAATATATTTTTATTTTGGCTCGGAGGCGAATGTCCAGGGCTGATAGAAGAGTACGAGATTGATCCAGAAAGGACAAAAGTCGACGGCGACCAGATGGACGACGCCCTGGTACAGGAGGGCGACATCCTCCCCGGCTGCGCCAACTTCGAGGAATTCGTTCAGGTACGGCCTATTTTCTTTTATTTATGAAAAAATGAAATAAAAAGAAAAACGTTTGAATGTGTCCTGCGTAATAAAACTGCACGTATGTGTTTATTTACTGTGAAGTAAGTTATACACTGTTGCCCCCTCAAATTGAAAATTTAGAAAAAAAATCAGTTCTTCCAACCAAGAAAAAGAAAATAAATGAATTTGTACAATGCTAGAAATTTTAGGTTCAATCAAAGTATTTGTACTCGAAGTGTTTGTTTTCCATGTAGATGTGTCATCCTTCTGTGTCGTGTTGAGAGTGCTATGACACAAAAGAATGACACATGTACACAGAAAACAAACACTTTGAGTAAGTACAAATACTTTGTTTAAATCTAAAATTGTATAAATTCATTTTCTTTTTCACATCCTACATGTATTTGTAAAAATTAAATAATGTTTATAAATCCCAGGCTCTGAAGATGATCTCAATGAAGATCGAAACGTTGGAACGATAAAGAAAATGTTTTTCAAAAACTTACCAGACTGCATCTCGTGATCTCCAAATAATAAATAAAAACTTGATTGAACAATTTTTATGTTATGTAGGATATTTTAATAAGTAAAAAATCTTAGTGAAAAGAAAAAAAGAATTGAATGTGTCCTGTGTAATAAAACTGTATGTACCTTTTTATTTAGTCTGAAGTAAGTTATACAGTGTTGACACCCTTTAAATTGAATATTTAGAAGAAAAAAACAAGTCTTCCAACTATTAAAAATAAATAGAATATATATTTTTTTAAAATTGTAATCTTAAAAAGAGTGCCTTAAAAGCATAAATAAAAACTTGATTGAATAATTTTTATATTATGTAGGATATTTCAACTAGTAAAAATCTATGTGAAAATAAAAGATTTGAATGTGTCCTGTGTAATAAAACTGCACGCATCTTTTTATTAGTAAGTGATACACTGTTGCCACCCTCAAATTGTAAATTTCGAGAAAAAATCAGGTCTTCTAATTGATAAAAATCAGTCGAAATGATATATGTTTTAAAATTTTATTGTCAAAAAGTGTGCATAAAAAACATAAATAAAAACTTTATCGAACAGTTTTTATGTTATGTAGGGTAATTCAATCAGTACAAAATCATACTGTAAAGAGGTAGTACTTGACTGATTGTCACTTAATAGATGATAGCTATACATAAAATCATCGATTCATTCTTATTGCTTTGTTTCTATGTTGTTTTTATTGTATTCGCAGGCTGCATACCCAATCGTCATGAATGGTGTACGCCTTTCGAACAACCTGCCCAGCACGCAGCAGTACAGCTATTTCAAGACTTACAAGGAGTTTGAAGACATTATGAAGGCCCATGGCAAACGCCTTCAGGATACGTAAGTTAATGTTTGTTCCAAGTTTTTTTTTTTTTTTTTAAAGTTTTTTTTGTGCCTGTTTTAAAGGATCCAAATGCTTTTGGTGCATATGGACACAAAGAGGACAATCCACCATCAGCCAGCTGACGAGAAGTTCGAGCTGATTGTCGACACGAACGACAAGCTTCTTGATAGGGCGCACAAATCGATGTCGGAGATGGATGGGACGAGGTTCAACCCGGACGAAGACTTCGGCGAGAGTAGCCATCGCCAGATATCCGGCAGTTGGAACAGGAAGAACCTCGATTCGGTCAAATTGGCTGATAAGGCGGACGACGTTGTCAAGCTGACAGTGCAACAACGCACGATAAGGCCACAGGCGCTGTTCAAAGACAAGATAGACAACAGTAACCGGCCTTGGGAGCCGAGGATCAAGGAGAAGCCCAACGCCCTCAAGCCCCTATCGGTCCTGCTCACGGTGAACGAAAGAGGACAGGAGACGTACACTCACCCGTACGAGTTCGAGCTCGACATGTGGAAGCCAAGTGAGGAACGCCTCACGCTTGTACATGTGGTCGAAGAGCCCAAAGACCTCGAAGAGACCCAGCTCATTTACGTCCAAACGGAAAAAGAGCTCGAGCTCATGGTCGCCGATCTACTCCAGCAGAATGAATTCAGTGTCGATCTTGAGGTAAGCGAAAGAAGACCTTTTTTAATAAAATAATACAAAAGTAACAGCAATTTAAAAAAATTGATTTTTCTTTTTTTATTCCAGCATCACTCGTACCGGAGTTTCATGGGTTTTACCTGTTTGATGCAGATATCGACCAAAGATACAGACTTCATCATCGACGCATTGAAATTGAGGCATAAAATGCACATTCTTAATACTGTTTTTACCAAGCCAAACATATTAAAAGTAAGTATAATTGGATTATGATTATTAAGCTTAAAATTCAATTAATCAAGTTCTGTTTTTATCTTAGATCTCTGTTTAAACCTCATCCCATGATTACCACCCAAAATCCCCACTTCCCTCCTTAATCTCCTTCCCAGATTACCACCCAAGTATATTCCCCCCTCACATGATACTTCCCCTTCCACAGTCTTTCCCATTATCATGTTTAATATCCCCCCACTATTCCTTTGTTAATCCCCTTCCACGATTACCACTTAATTAAAATCCCCACTACCCATCAAATTTTCCCTCCACTGTTTTTTAACCTCACCCTACTATTCCTTCCTTAATCCCCTTCCAAGATTACCACCCAACTATTTCCCCTCACATGATACTTTCCCTTCCACAGTATTCCTTTTATCATGTTTAGCCTCCTTCTATGATTACCACACAAATCCCCACTTCCCATAATATTTCACCTCCACATTTTTGCCTCACTAGTATTTCCTTAATCCCCTTCCACAATTACCACCCAAGTATATTCCGCCTCATATGATACTTCCCCTTCCACAGTCTTCCCCTTATCATGTTTAGCCCTCCCACTATTCCTTCCTTAATCCCCTTCCTCAATTACCACTCAAAATCCCCACTTCCCATTGTATTCACCCTCCATGGTTTTGCTTGAACCTCACTATTTCTTCCTTAATCCCATTCCAAGATTACCAACCAAGTATATTCCCCCTCACATGATGCTTCCCCTTCCAGTCTTCTCCTTATGTTGAGCCTCTCCCACTATTCCTTCCTTAATCCCCTTCCTCAATTACCACTCAAAATCCCCACTTCCCATTGTATTCACCCTCCATGGTTTTGCTTGAACCTCACTATTTCTTCCTTAATCCCATTCCAAGATTACCAACCAAGTATATTCCCCCTCACATGATGCTTCCCCTTCCAGTCTTCTCCTTATGTTGAGCCTCCTCCTCCACTATCCTTCAATAATCCCTTTCCAAGATCACCTCCTAAGTATATCTCCACTTTTTATGATATTTCTCCTTCCATTGTTCTGTTATCAGTATTTTTTTTACTTCCCATTTTTCCTCTTTTAAACATTGTAACCATACTTCTTTCTCACAATTTAATTCTTAATCTTGTAATTTTGCTATGAATGAAGAAAATTTCATTGTGCTTTACAGTGTATCTAAATTTTATTTTAAGCTAATACTGATTTTATCTTCTTTTGATCAGATTTTTCATGGTGCAAGTAATGACATCGACTGGCTCCAGAGAGATTTCAGCCTCTATGTCGTGAACATGTTCGACACATACCAGGCGGCGAAGGTTCTCGATTTCCCAAAGCTCAGCCTCGCGTACCTCCTCAAACACTACTGCAAGATTGAAGCCAGCAAAAAGTTCCAGCTGTACGACTGGCGGATACGTCCACTGCCGAACAAAGCGAAGAACTATGCCCGTGAGGACACACACTACCTCATCTATATATACCAGATGATGAACAACGAGCTGTTCGCCAAGGGCAATGGGCCTCGTCTCATAGATGTTGTTTACAAGAAAAGCATTGAGACTTGCAAACAGGTCTACATGAAGCCACTCCTCGACGAGAACAGTCACATGAACCTTTACAGGCGTATGGGGCGCCCTTTTGACACAAGGCAGCTTTTCGCCCTGAAAGAGATCTACAAATGGAGGGACAATGTTGCACGCGAGGAAGACGAAAGCCCTGGGTCAGTATTTAACAAAATGTTGACGTAATTGAGTGTGACACAATTTAATCAATTTCCAGGTACGTCCTTTCGAACCACATGATGATGCAGATGGCGCAGACGTTGCCGAGGGAGGTGCAGGGTATCTTGGCATGCTGTAACCCGATACCACCGCTCGTGAGACAGCATGCGGTTGACATACACAAGATCATACTGAAGGCGAAGGAGGTCCCGCTTGTCAAGGTGGGTCACGTACGACTTAATTCAGCCAACTCTTTAAATTCATTTCCCGTGATTCTCCACCTGGGTTTCCGGTAATCATACGCGTATGCATGTCGACGCTATAGCTAGACAGGTGCTCTTTGCCTTAACAGGACGGGAAAAAAAAATTGTTTTACAGCTTCATCGTTGGGACGTCAGTTATTATTTTTAACCAATTATGTTGTAAGTACATTTTTTTAATATAATTAATTACCATCAGACATTGCTACACAAATTAATTCATCTTGTTTTAACAATCATTTTGAAATGAAGATCACATTATGATACAATAATATATTTTTATATAAATAAATAATATTTTTTGTTATTATAAATAATAATAATAATATAAACTACTACTAATGTAACACAATCTAGGCTATCAGTCATGAAAGGAATGCTATTAATTATTAATTATTAAATTAATTATTAAAAAACTATTAAGGTAGGTTATACATAGGATATCAGTTTAAAATTTAAACGGAAAATGAGTTGTATAAAGGAAAATGAGGAAACAAGAATAATAAAATTCCTCCTTGCACATTTCAGCTCAGGAGACAAAATTATGGATAAATTTCATCGTCCAGCGGCCCTGTCGAAGAAAGCCAGTTGAACTTACCATAATCGTTATATGACGATTTCAGCCTGAAATGAAGGCTGTATGTAGAGTTTAGTCCAAAATAGAGGTTATACAAGGGTTTCAGTTTAAAATGGAAGTTTTGGTGTAAAAATCTGAAGGATATATATTGGGTTTTATTAAATTGAGGTTATAATTTAGCTTAATTTCAAAAAGAAACTTGTATGTATTCTGTAAAGAAAACAGTAGGTTATAGTTAAAAAATGGGTTATTTGTAACCTTCATTATTACTGTAGGAAGGAAATGGTGGTTATATATTATAAAGATCTCATTTTTAAATTGAGGCTATACGTTGGTTTCGGTCTAAAAAAAATGGAGGTTATATGAAGGTTCTTAATTGTAATTTGAATTTATACGTTGGTTTTAGTTTAAAAATGGAGGTTATATGAGCAGTCTGAATCATAAATTGAGGTTGGTTTCTGTCTAAAAAATGGAAGTTATATAAAGGTACTTAATGGTGATTTGATGTTATATGTTCATTTCAGTCTAAAATAATGTAAGTTTTATGGAGGGTCTAAATCGTAAATTGAGGTTATATGCCGGTTTCAGTCTAAAAATGGAGGTTATAAGTAGTGTCTTAAGTTGTAATTTGTGGTTAAACGTTGGTTTCAGTTAAACAAATGTAAGTTATATGTAGTGCCTAAATTATAATTTGGGTTTATGCATTGGTCTCAGTTTAAAAAACGGTGGTTATAAATAATGTCTGAATTGTAATTTGTGGTTATACGTTGATTTCAGTTTTAAAAATGGAGGTTATATCTAATGTTTAAATTGTAATTTGCGGTTATACGTTGATTCAGTCTAAAAGTGGAGGTTATATGGAGGCCCCAATATTAATTTGAGGTAATTCGTTGGTCCCAGACTGAAGGCCGGAAGCCTGCCAAGTGATTAAAGTTTCTTTCTTCTTTTTTGACCGTACACCAGATCAATATCTTACACTATATACCACTGGTTTATAACTCCACATAGTTTCATGTTTATGCGTGGTAGTCAATTTTACAATGGAGGTTGTTGGTTTGGGACTGAAACATAGGTTGTATTTTAAATAGAGGATATATGTGAGCTCATGTCTAAAAAATTGTGGTTATATGTGGTTTTAGTCCAAAATGAAGGTTATACAATGGTGTGGTGTTTAGTGACCGTTAGTTGATGATTATTTGGAGATCGTGAGATGCGGTCTGGTGTGACATAGGTTTTAGAAAAACATTTGCTTTATCGTGCCAACGTTTCGATCTTTGAGATCATCTTCAGGGCTCAAAATGTTTGAGAGGGCACTCTCATAATAATTACACATTTACACAGAAAACAAACATTTTGAGTGAGTACAAATACTTTGAGTCTAAAATGTCTAGCATTGTATAAATTCACTTTTTCCACATCATATATGCATTTGTATAATTTAAACAATGTTTATAAATCCCAGGCCCTGAAGATGTTCTCAATAAAGATCGAAACGTTGGCTCGATAAAGAAAATGTTTTTCTAAAACCTACGTCACACCAGATCGCATCTCACGATCTCCAAATAATCGTTATACAACGGTTTCATAGTAAAATAACTGCCGTTTTAATCAGAAGCCATTGTATAATTTCATTTCGGACTAAAATCATATACAACCACAATTAGTTTTGATACTTGGTTGGACATTTATGGGTTTCGGTTTAATTATTACTAAACGGGTATTCTTAAGATACACGGGGTGAAAAGAAAGAAAGATTTGGCTGGATTTTAAGTCAGTTTTTAGTTGTTTCGTAGCGATTGTTTATTTTTCGTAGCTGTCGGGTGAATGTGTAAAATGAATTTTCCATCGTCGCAGGAAGACTCGGAAGTGAGCTGCGAGAGCGAGGGGGAGACGGAGGAAGAGGAGCCGGACACGTCCGACGAAGACTGGGAGGCCGGGGAGGACGAGAGCGATTCGTCTGGGGCGGAGAGCGCCGCCGAAGACGAGTTCGTCGTCGCCGCCATCAAAAAGAGGCAGAGGATCGACAAGTCTAAACCGCCGTACATCAACATCGAAGACGCCATCAACGACTCGAGTTTCTCGCCCGAGAACGACATCATCGTACTCGCGACGAGCGCCGGCGACCTCCTCCCGTTCACATACGGGCTCAACGCGTGCAACGGGCTCGGCCGGATCGAAGCGCACACCGACGACTGCCGGGTGGTCGAATTCTCGTCCGACGGAGGTCGTCTCTTCTCAGGCGGAAAGGACAAAACCGTTGTCGTCTCGGATCTGGAAAGGCGGGACATGATTTCTTTCTACCAAGACGCCCACGACGAACCCGTCTCCGCTTTGACCGTCTTAGACGACAATCTCATATGCACCGGGGATGACGGAGGGAATTTGAAAATTTGGGACCTAAGGGAGCGAAAATCGGTCGCTTCAAATAAACCGAGAGACATCAGCGATTATATATCGAGCGTGGTTTACAAAGAAGGCTCGAATTTTGTAAGCTGCACGAGCGGCGAAGGCAACCTTACGATATACGATCTCAAGAGATTGACCATCTGTTCTCAGAGCGAGCATCACAAATCCGACCTGACGTGCTCGGTTTTGATAAAACGTGAGGACGAGATCGTGTGCGGCTCGTTGACCGGCGAGATGATCATGTACAAGTGGGCCGGTACGGCTGAACCCCTCGGCAAGTACGACCCCGTACCGAAGACTCCGGTCAACTGCATGTTGGCCGTGTCGGAGAATCTTATAATCACCGGCTGGGAAGACAAGAAGATCAGGGCGTTCCACTTGTACCCGAACGAGGAGGTCGGGATCGTCGGGCAGCACGACATGCCCGTCGAGGGGTTGGAGATGTCGAGGGACGGCGATCTTATCGCCTCGACGTCGGCGGAAAACAAGCTCAAGTTTTGGAACATCGGCTATCTCGAAGACTACGAGGCGAACAAGAGGAAGAAGAAGAAGAAGGGAAGGCAGTCTGTCAACTTGCCGTCCTCCGCCGTCGAGGACCGAGGATCCTTTTTCTCAGAACTTTTATAAATTAACAGAAAAAAAAAAGTTTTAACATTTATTTAGAAAATATCATAAAAAATTATATATTACATTTCTTTTGTTATTAATATGTATAATAAATGAATTTTAATTACCTTCTAACTGAAAGCTCAGTGCATAAAAATATCTTAAGTACGTACCACTTTAAGACTGATAACCTATGTGCAACCTACTTTGTAGGACGGATAACCCACAGCATTTCTTTTTTAAACTGATAACCTATGGGTAACCTACGTTTTAGGTCTGGTAACATAACTACATCCTAATTTATAGAGATGCACCTAGACCTAAATGCAACAGATTACTTACCTCCATGCAACCTGCATTTTTTTTAAACAGATAACTTATGTACAATATACTTTGTAGAAAAGGTAACTTATACCTCCCCTTCTTTAGACAGATAACCTACATGTGAAATCTTTTTCGGTCTTGTAACTTGCATTAAACCTTCCTTTTTAAATAGACATATAACCTGCATGAAACCTAGTTTGTAGAAAACGTAATCTTTGTGAAACTTGTTTTTTTGACTAGTCAATTTTACTTAAACTCCTTTTTAAGATCTGGCGACCTATGTGCAATCTGCTTTTTTAAACTAATAACCTATGTGTAACCTACTTTTTAGGTCTGGTAACATAAGTAGATTCTAATTTATAGAGATGTCCACCTAAGTGCAATATACTTTGTAAGACAGATTACCTATCTACATGCAACCTGAATTTTTTTAAAAAGCTGATAACTTATGTACAATATACCTTGTAGAAAAGATAACCTTTATGCACCCTACTTTTTTAAGATAGATAACCTATTTGTGAACTCTTTTGGTCTTGTAACCTGCGTTAAACTTCCTCCTTTTTTTAATGGACTGATAACCTGCATGAAACCTAGTTCCTAGAAACGTAATATTTGTGAGCCTGTTTTTGACTAGTCGATTTTATTTAAACTACTTGTTAAGTTCTGGCGACCTGTGCAATCTTTTTGTTAAACTGATAGCCTATGTGTTACCTACTTTTTAAGTTCTGGTAACATAAGTACATCCTACTTTGTAGGAATGGTAACCTAGGTGTAAATGTATCTGAAGATATTTGGTAACCTTTGTACAACCACTTTTGGAAAAATTACAACCTATCTGCAACCTTTTCATTTTTCAAACCCATAGTCTGTTAGTAGCCTGGTAACCTACATGCAACCTTATTTTTTAAACTGATAACCTATGTGTAACCTACTTTTTAGGTCCGGTAACATAAGTATATTCTAATTTATAGAGATATCCACCGTGCAATATACTTTGTAAGTTTGTAAGACAGATTACCTATCCATATGCATATTTAAAAAAAAAAAAAAAAAACCCTGATCTTATGTACAATATACTTTGGAGAAAAGATAACCTATATGCCCCCTACTTTTTTAAGATGGATAACCTACTTGTGAACTCCTTCGGTCTTGTAACCTGCGTTAAACCTTCTCCTTTTTTAATAGACTGATAACCTGCTTGAAACCTAGTTCCTAGAAATGTAATCTTTGTGAGTCTGTTTTTGACTAGTCGATTTTATTTAAACTCCTTTTTAAGTTTTGGCGACCTATGCAACCTTCTTTTTAAACTGATAACCTATGTGTAATTTACTTTTTAAGTTCTGGTAACATAAGTATATCCTACTTTGTAGGAATGGTAACCTAAGTGTAAAGGTATCTCAAGACATTTGGTAACCTTTGTACAACCACTTTTAGAAAAATTATAACCTATGTGCAATCTTTTCATTTTTCAAACCCATAATCTATTATTAGCCAGGTAACCTACATGCAACCTTCTTTTTTTTAACTGATAACCTATGTACTACCTACTTTCTAAGTCTATGTTCATCCTACTTTGTAAAAATGGTAGCCTAGGTGTAATGTACCTCTAAACTAGTAGTAACCCTTGTGAAACCTATTTGGGAACAATTGTAACCTATGTGCAACCTTCCCATTTTTTCAAATTGATAACCTAAGTCCCCTTTTACAGGCAAGTAACCTAAGCGCAACCCACTTTTTAGGATGAAGGATGTGTTTTTTTAGTAAATAACATAAATGTAATATTAAATTCGTTGTTTTATTTTCATCCAGACGTTTCCAGAAGAGACTGTGAACAAGTCGAGCTCATTTTCAGCAAGCCGCGACCTCGAGTTGGAAGTCCGTCTCAATTACTATACCCACGACAACTCGGGCGTCGAGTACCGCGATGACCTGCCGACCAAGCTCAATGGGAAGATACGCGAGCCAGACGACCCACCTCACGTCCGACCTGTTCTCTCTGTACTCGCCGAAAAGAATGATGTATGGATTAAAAAAAAAAAAGTTTAAATCCATCATTTGTGATTTTTTTTTGGTGCAGGACATCGAAGAGGTTGTGGATGAAATGATGAAGATCAGTTTCGTATCGCCGTATGAGCGGTACATCAAAGTTCTGCCTTATTCAATACAGATGGAAAGGCAGGAGATCGAGAAACAGATGAAGCAGGAGGCTGAGATGGCGGAAAGGCGGAGCAAAATCGTAATTAATATTATTATTATTTTGTTTTAATCCACGTACATTTTTGGTTTCTTTAACAGCAAAACATGGATGTGACTGCCATTAAAAGGACGCAGGACGACGCACGCCTCCTCAACAGATTCGCAAGCGAGGTAAATCTCATTTATTGATTTCTCCTCCAATCAATTGATTGATTTTTTTAAAATATTAAATCTGTGGATTCTTCATTTGATTGATTTTTTTGCTCCATCTAATAGAATTTTTTATTAATTTTTTTTTTAAAATAAATATTTTAAATCCTTCTAACGACCATTTTCTTTGCGCAGTGCCGCTACATCCAAGCCCTGTGGAAGCTCTGAAGCCCTCGGGGATTATTTTGACGTGTGGTCGATATTTAAATAAAATTTACCGCGTAAGAAGAGAGAGGGAGACCAAAAAATTATTAATTACTTAAAAAAAGAGTCAAAAATGAAGGATCCACATGTGCAGAAACACACACACATACAAAACAACAACAACAACACAATAAATTATTTTATAATTACTGTTAATTATAACAAATTATTTTTCTCAAGCAAGAAAAAAAAAAAATGTTAACTTACATGATAGTTTTGTGTTTTATAAAATGAATAAAATTTTGTTTTCATATCTATTTTTATTTTTATTTGGTCATTGTTACATTTTTGAGTTGGTTTTGAACACAGCTGCCTGAAAAGAAGGCGCGGCTGACTGATGATGACAGGCCGGTGGGCGTTACAGTGACTGAGGAGGAGAAGCACAACGTTGAGGACGTGGCCTTGCAGTCATTCGGCGTCGTCGGTGGCGAGATAGCGGTTGCGAAGGAGAAAAAGCGTGCCAAGAGGAGGAACAACGCGCTGAAAGACTTTGAACCATATGACTACAGTGTTGTCAACTTTAACAAGTTCCACAGCTCGCCTGGTGGCCAGGCGATGCGCGTCACCTTACCAAGCAACAGCAAAAATCAAGTGAGCATCTCCAACATAAAAATCTCCCTTTTTCTCTCACCAAAAAAAAATCAAACAAAAAAACTTTTTTTCCAGAACAAGAGGAAGCTCCAGTTCCAAGGGAAACACCAGATGAAAAAGAGAAAAGGCCAGAGGTGGTGAAATACACCTCCTGTACCAACTCAAATTTGTGTAAATTTTATTCTCTCTCACCGTCTCTTTTCTTTTATTTTCTGTTGTTTTTTTATACACACTGAGCGGGAAGAGTGACAAAGAAAACAAAATCTGTAAATTAGTACTGTGAACTTTAAACTTTGATTAAAAACAAAAAATATATATTAACAGGTTTTCCTTTTTTTTGTGTGTGTATAGTTACATGAAAAAATAAAAATAAACCCACCTAACTAATTTTTTTAAGATTGAATTTCAGCATTGAAGCGTAGATTAGGCTTGAAGGTGTAGGTTATGCAAATGTTATCAGCCTGTAGGTTATACTATGGTTATTCACGTCTTTGATCTGATATTAAGGTTATAAGAAAGTCTTCCGTCTTAAGTTTTGCTTATACAAAGGTTATCATTCTGGAATGTAGGTTATTCAAAAGTGTAGAGGTTGTATTACACTTTAAGAAAGGCTCACGCCTGAAATGTAGATTATACTGTAGTTATTGTCGAGCCTGATAATAAGGTTATAAGAAAGTCCTCAAGTGTGATATTAAGGTTATAAGAAAGTCTCTGGTATGATAAGGTTGATAATAAGGTTATAAGACAGTTTCAGATTGATATTAAGGTTATAAGATAGACTTCAGTGTGTTATTAAAGTTATAATAGCCTTCAGTCTTATATTAAGGCTACAAGAATGTCTTCAGTCTGATATTAGTGTTATAAGAAAGTCTTGTGTTGATATTAAGGTTATAAGAAAGTCTTCAATTTGTAATTAGGCCATGTTCTAGTTTCCAAATAGAAGCTAAGGAAAGGTTATCAATCTAAAATTAAGTTAATATGAAAGTCTTCAGTCTTAAGTTTTGGTTGTACAAAGGTTATCAGTTTGAAATGTAGGTTATGCTAAGGTTATATAATGGTTTTTAGTCGAAAAATTAGATAGAAAATACAAGTCATACCGCACACATAATATATTTGTCTAATACATATTTTTTTCTTTTTCTTGACCAACATTTTTGGATGAATCCCACCTTTGGAAATAATGCGTACATTTCAAATTGGGGTTTATCGGGACAAATTGAACTGAATTTTTATATATTATTTATATTTTTTAATAATTTGAAAATAAATGACATGGAAAAATGAGTCTTCAGTCAAGAGTATGTTGATGGCTGATGATAACGAGGGGGTGAAGTGAGAGGCGGGTGATCCCTTTCACTCTCATACGTACGACTTCAGGTTGTCCACTTTGACCTGCCTCGTGAGCGGCGAGTGCGTCTGCACCGAGATCCAGACGCTCTGCCCGAGTGCGACGGCCATGTTCGTGACTGAAGCGCCGTTCTTCACCATTTCACCTGTCGGAGGGTAGAAGACGTTTAAAAATAAAAATAAATAAAAAAAGATTGGTTTGAAGTTGAAGTTATTTTACCGATCAAATTGGCGCAGTCTTTCGGAGCGTCGGACCCTTTGAAGAGAAGGGTGTTCTCGTTGAGCGGGACGCCCGAGCTGAAGACGCTGTCGTCGATTGACAACAACCAACTCTCGCCTCCTCTGCTCGTCCCTTTATTTTAAACATTAAAACATATTATTAACTAATTATTAATTAAAAGATTAAAAAATAAGTGAATACCTGCGAGAGTATGGGTTGAGGCGTTTGTGACGATCTTAAGGGAGACTTGTTCCTGTAGATCGTCCGAGTCGGCCGTGTGGTTGAGCGATAGCTTGAGCCCGGCTTCTTGAGCGAGCAACGGCGCGTTGATGAGGTTGAGCCCGTTTTGGCACCTTGAGCCGAGCATTCCGGAGAGTACGGCAGTCGTGAGGAAGCGCATCTTTTTCGTCATCACGCCCTGGGTGAGGAGCTCGAGGGTGACGTCTGCCCATTTGGTCTCGGGGCCGACCAGCTTTGCCGCGATGGCGCCCATCGATTGGCCGAGGGAGACCCAAGGCGCGTTGGACGGGTCGCGGAGGTCGCCTAGGATCGGGGCGTTGACGACCCCGGTCACGGAGAAGCCGGAGTCGGGCTGCGACAGGGCGACGAGCTGCTCGGCGATCTCGACGGCCACCCTCACCTGAGCCTCACCTGTGCTCGCGCCGAGATGGGGCGTCGCGAGCACTTTCGGGTGACGCACGAGCTCCAAGAGCCAGGGCGATTTAGGAGGCTCCTCTGAAAACACGTCCAACGCCGCTCCTCCACAATGATTCGCCTATTAAAATTTAATAAAAAAGCATAAAGATTTTTGGTGGACTTAAAACTCATTTTGAAAATTTGAGTCCTAGTGATATAAGATTTTGAATATCACGAATATTTTTTTATGATGTGTGTTACGTTTATTGATTAAAATTTTGAGTTTTTTGATGTGATTTGATTTGGCCGAATAGCTTATTTTTGTTGGTATGTGTAAAATTTGTGTCTGTGTATGTGTAAAAGGGTGTCAGTTGAATTTTCAAGTTGTAATTTCAATATTTGAAATGTTTGTTTTAAATTTGTGAGTGGCCTTTTTGTACGTTTTTGACGTTGGTTGGGTTAGCGCAGCGTTTGTGATGTTAAAGTTATTTTTTATGTCAGAAATTGTTGTTTTGTATGCGTTTTATTAAGAAAATCCGTTGATTTGTAGAATATGCTAATTAATATCCGGTGGTGATATATTTGTTAAAAACCCATGTTGGTTATGTTGCTCTCCGGTACATATGGGTACTTTTTTTAGTTACCGGTTTTTAAAATAATTTCTTGGATTCGTGAGGAGCGTGAATGCGATAGTTTTGGAAAACACCTTGTTCATTTATTTTAATCGACGTTTCGACCTTTATTCGGGTCTTCTTCAGGGCATAAAGTTGTGCTATTCTTGCGGTGTCATATCGATGTTGTATGAACTTTTTGTGCTTGTTTACAACTGTGTTGAGTTTTTTGTACGTAGTCACCCTTATTGAACTGTCCACTGTTCGTTTCATTTTTTCCGCTCAAAGTATGACCATATCTGGGTTATTTGTAAGGAAAACGCACACCCCCTCACGCCTCTTCCGTCGGGCATAATTCATAAATGGTCGATCATATCAAAATTTTCCTTTCGGTAAAACAGGCATGAAATAAGCTCTAGAAACGAACTAAACAATAACAATGTGGGATTCTCATTTAAAATAACAAAGTTAGTGTCATTACCCAGCTAGATGAGCAAGAATGTCAAATCTGTCCCCACCAAGTGATTCCTAGACAAAATTAACTCGGGGCTTGTAAAAGTCCATTTTTTCCCTAAATTTAATTTTTTCAATTAATTAAGGTTTTTAGTTGAGATAAAAAAAGTCGATGTGACGAGCGGGATTCGAACCCACGACCTTCGGCTAGAAACGCCGCTACTCTACCACCTGAGCTATCGTGACTTCGATCCACTCGGACACAACTTCCCATCTGACCCCACCTTTTGAATTTTCCCTCCTTTTAGCCATTTTTCAAATATCTAAATTTAATCGTTTTCGGTTTAATTGGACTATAGAAGTCTTTATAGTATCTTTCAAAAGATATATGACCACTAATCATATCAAAAAAATCCACGTTACGTAATAAAAATTATTTACTAGTTTTTTTCCCTTATGATCTATGCATATTAACCATAGTGATGAATTCTTGTATGTGTGTTCACATTTGGGGGGGGGGAGGGGGTTATCGTGAAAAAAGGGCCAGAGGCGACGGTGGGAATCGAACCCACGACCGCGGCGTCTATGAGCCGAGAGTCTCTCACGCTAACCACTCGGCTACCGCGGTCCCCCATTATTTACTAATAGTAGTAATAAAAAATAAAATTACCTTGAGTGAGTTAAGCAGGGCTTTTTCGTCGACGATCCCACCCCTGGCGACGTTGACGACTTTTACCCCTTTCTTACATTTCGCCAACGTTGTTTCATTAATTAAATCTAAAATAAAATCAAACAATTAAAAAGAAAGAATGATGTGGAATAAGAAAATATTTGACTTGAATGCTTGACGTGAAATATCAAGCAGTACTGACCTTTGGGGTCGGTCCAACTCCAAGTTAAAGTTAAGTTTAAAAAGCTTAATAATTTAGTTATTCAGATATCGTGAGATGCGGTCGGGTGAGATGTAGGTTTCAGAAAAACATTTTCTTTATCGTGCCAACGTTTCGATCTTTTATTGAGATCATCTTCAGGGCCTGGGATTTGCAAACAATGTTTACATTTAACAAATACATTGTTTGTAAATCCCAGGCCCTGAAGATGTTCTCAATAAAAGATCGAAACGTTGGCACGATAAAGAAAATGTTTTTCTGAAACATACATCACACCCGACCGCATCTCACGATATCTGAATAACTATCGATTAACGGTCACTAATCTCTACACACATAATAATTTAATTAAATTGAATTTTGTAAAAATTTAAATTTACTTCTTGTCTGTGGGATGAGGGGAGTGTGTACTGTGATGTAGTCGGCGACGGGCCAGATCTGCTCCAGATCCGCCTTCTCGATTCCGAGCGCGCGTGCCTGCTCGGCGTCGACGAGCGGGTCGAACCCGACGACCTTCATCCCGAACCCGCGCATCCTCGACGCGACTTCGCGCCCGATTCGGCCGAGCCCGAGCACTGCAAGCGTCTTCCCCTGGAGCTCGGAGCCCGTGTACAGCTTCCTGTCCCACCTGCCTTCTTTGAGCGACTGGCTCCCCTGGGCGACGTTCCTGTCCGGGTTTGAGACAATTTGAACATTTCGACTCGGAAAATTGAATTAAAAAAAAAAATACCTGGCCAGGCTTGTTATAAGGGCGCAGGTGAGCTCGCAAGCGCTCACAGAATTTCCTCCCGGAGTGCTGAAAAAATACAATTTTTAATTTAAAAAAATTTAAGAATTTAATAATTTATTTACAAATATGTACAAAAGTGTGATATAAATGTTTCAGGCTCCCTGCCTATAAACTAACTAAAGTTGTACAATTGAAAAAGAATTATTTATTTGTAAAGGAAAAAAAACCTTAACATAATTTAAGAGTAACCTTAAAACAGAAAATGTTTATTTTATTTTTTTTACGAGGGTTCTCAACAGCACAGGTCATATAAATCCTCAGGGTGCCGGTGTTTTTGAAAAAAAGCCGATTTGTAAGTATGTCAGGTTCGAATGCAGGACCGCTGGATTCGAACCCGGGACCTTTACCTTACAGTGATGAGCGCCGTGTCAACGACGAAACCTTGCGGCCACCGACGCCGTTAGGTTAGGTTGGCTTATTGTTTTTTAATAATGTGGTACCAGAATAGGTAATGGTCCTCCGGGCCGGATGGAATCATACAATGATTTGCTTTAGCCCTTAGACTAAAAATCTCAAGATAAAATTAATGGCGTTTCGTTTTTAGTTGAATTATTTTTGCTAGTTATATACACTGATAGGCAAAAAATTACACCCAATTGATTTTTTTTTTTCATTTTCTCGATAAAAGAAAATTCTGCCCATAATTTGTCTCAATGTTTTTACCTATAAATATTTGTTTATGCTATGTTTTAATTGATTAAGGTTTTTAGTTGAGATAAAAAAGTCAGTGTCACGAGCGGGATTCGAACCCACGATCTTCGGCTAGGTACGCCGCTGCTCTACCACGCTATCTTCGATCCACTCGGACACTAACTTCCCATCTCAACCCCACCGTTTGAATTTTCCCTCTTATGTTTTAAATTGGGAATATCAATTAGAGGTAAACACACTTAATCCTTAATCCAAAACAAGGATAAAGGATTTTTCAATGTTTACTCTTCAAGGAATTTAAAATTTTTATTCAGTCTCATTTGACTTCTGAAGCAATAAACTGTTTAGTTTTGATCTTAATTGTAATTTTGAAACTTAAAAATGTCACTTAGTGCTGAGGATGTTGGGCGTGGTGTGGCACTTGACGGATGTTCCATCGGGTATACGGCTATTGCCATTAGAGTTCCCTATGAAACTTCGCGAGAGCCGTTAGACCTTTTATGTTTCAATACAGGATGAAAGTATTTTTTTGTTAGTGTTAGAACCTGACGAGAGTAAATTAGTATTCATTTTATGTATATTTTCAAAATAGCAGGCAACAGTATTTGATTTATGATTAGGACTATATGCATAGTTGTTTAAGGACTGGGAATTATTTAAAATAATAGGAAGGATATGTACAGGGAAAAAATTCAAATCGAACCAAACTGACGCAATTGAACACCTAATTCAACGATAATGTCAAGGCCTCGTGGATTAAATAAAATTACGTAAACTGATTAAAAACCATTGATAAGAATAAGAAAAAAATTTTATCTTCGAAACCGTGAAAATGTTGTATAATATGAGGCTCACTTGAGCACGATGACTCCGCGCCTTGTCGCCGCTTCTGTGTCGATGTTGTCGACTCCCGTGCCCGCCCTGCCGACGACTCGGAGCTTTGCGGCCGCCGCCAGGACTTCGGCTTTCACCTTCGTGTCAGACCTGACGATCAGGGCGTCGTAGTCCTGTTGCAAAAAAAAAAAAAAAATCGAATTTATTTATATGAGCTTTAAAAAAATAAGAAGTTTGAAATCCTGTTTATTTTGATATAAAAATTATAACTGCGCGAGAAACCGTTCTTGAGAAATTTGCCTTCAAAGTTAATAAAAAGGCCCCTTATCAAAATGAGAGAGAAAAACACCATTTTTTGCATCTAATATTAGGAATATCTTAAAAATCTATTGAATGAAGTTTGTACAGCTTGAAATTCTGGTTCTTTGCGTACAAAAATTATATTTTTCCAATAAAGTATTTTTTGAGAAATTCGCTTATAAAGTGAGAACATGGCGATCAAGTCATGACCAAAGTATAATAAAACAGCATATTTACGCGTTTTTCATTAAGAATATGTTAAAAATCGATTAAATGAAGTTTGTTTAGATTGAAATCTTGTTTCTTTTGACACAAAAATAATAATTATGCAATAAACCGTTCTTGAGAACTTTGCCTTCAAAGTTGATAAAAGGCCCCATATCCAAATTAGAAAGAAAACACCATTTTTTGCAACTAATATTAGGAATATCTTAAAAATTGATTAAATGAAGTTTGTAGAGCTTGAAATCCTGGTTATTTTCATATAAAAACCATAATTTTCCGATACAGTATTTTTTGAGAAATTCGCTTACAAATGGAGAACAGCGAATATGAGACAAAACCAGCATATTTATGCGTTTTTCATTTAGAATATTTTAAAAATTTTATAAATAAAGTTTATAGAACTTGAAATCCTGTTTCTTTTGATACAAAAATTATAATTGTGCAGGAAACATTGCTAAGAAATTTACCTTCAAAATTAATAAAAGGCAAAATTAATTAAAATAATCGAGACAGCATTTTTTTGATTTTAATGTTAGGAATATCTTAAAAAGTGATTAAATGAAGTTTGTAGAGCTTGAAATCCTGGTTTTTTTCATAGAAAAATTATAATTTTCTGATAAATCTTTATTTAGAAAATATCTTACAAAGTGAGGACATGGCGATCAAGTATGAACATGGGACAAAACCCAGCATATTTATGCGTTTTTCATTACGAATATCTTAAAAATTGTGTAAATAAAGTTTATAGAACTTGAAATCCTCTTTATTTTGATACAAACATTATAATTGTGCAGGAAACGTTCCTAACAAATTTACCTTCAAAATTAATAAAAGGCCCCTTATTAAAATAATCGAGACAACAGCATTTTTTAAAATTTTAATGTTAGGAATATCTTAAAAATTGTATAAATAAAGTTTATAGAACTTGAAATCCTGTTTCTTTTGATACAAACATTATAACTGTGCAGGAAACGTTCCTAAGAAATTTACCTTCAAAATTAATAAAAGGCCCCTTATTAAAATAATCGAGACAACAGTATTTTTTTAAATTTTAATGTTAGGAATATCTTAAAAATTGATTAAATGAAGTTTGTAGAACTTGAAATCCCGGTTCTTTTTATACAAAAATTATAATTCTCCGAATATTGTTTATTGAGAAATTCGCTTACAAAATGAGAACTTGGTGATCGTGTCAATTCGTTCATGGGCGCCAATATTTTGTGCGAATATTTCAATAACGGTTGAATTTTTAAATAATTTTTCAATAACGGTCCATAAGTATAATTTTTATTAAATCCATCCATCGTGGTCCGATTGACTAATTAACTTTTTTTCAATTAATTAATATTTATGAAAGGTACTGGTTGAGAAAAAAAAGTCAGTGTCACGAGCGGGATTCGAAACCAAGACCTTCGGCTAAATACGCCGCTGCAAGTAGTAGAGTAGCGGCGTATTTAGCCGAAGGTCTTGGGTTCGAATCCTGCTCGTGACACTGACTTTTTTATCTCAACCAATACCTTTCATAAATATTAATTATAATTTTTATATTGAAATGACGAGGATTTCAAACTTTACAAATTTATTAGACAATTTTTACAATATTTGTAAAAAAAAAATTGCTATTTTTAACAGATGGCTATTGCGTCAGACTTAGACTCCTGATAACTCGAAAACGGCTTAAAGAGCAATTATGATTTTTATATAATTACAGCCAGCATCTCACCCTCGACGAACTCTATTTAAATAAGTTTTAAGATATTCTTAATGGCAGACATAAAAAATTGGTGTTTTGTCACATATTTTGATAAGGAACTTTTTTCTTTTTTTTCTTAGTCCAATAAAGACATCGTAAAATGTTAATTTTATCAAAATAAGCAGAATTTTAAGATATATAAACTTTATTGAAACAAGTTTTAAGTTTTAATAATAAACGAAAAAATTTATTATTTTCTAAATACTTCGGTATGGTGTCATGCACTTGAACGCAAATTTCTCATTAACGGCTTGTCGCAAAATTATAATTTTGATATCAAAGAAGCAGGATTTTTTGCTGTATAAAGGTTATCTGAATTGTTAATACATTCATAATGAAAAACGCAGAAATATGCTGTTTTATTATACTTTGGTTATTCATACTTGATCGCCATGTTTTCACTTTATAAGCGAATTTCTCAAAAAATACTTTATCGGAAAATTATGGTTTTTTTATATGAAAAGAACCAGGATTTCAAGCACTACAAACTTCATTTAATCAATTTTTAAGATATTCCTAATATTAGTTGCAAAAAATGGTGTTTTCTTTCTAATTTGGATATGGGGCCTTTTATAAACTTTGAAGGCAAAGTTCTCAAGAACGGTTTATTGCATAATTATTATTTTTGTGTCAAAAGAAACAAGATTTCAATCTAAACAAACTTCATTTAATCGATTTTTAACATATTCTTAATGAAAAACGCGTAAATATGCTGGTTTCTCATATTCATACTCGAACTGACATGTTCTCACTTGTATAATATGAATATAGTATATATAATAGTATATAGTATAGTATATATAATATAGTATAGTATATATAATATAGTATAGTATATATAATATGTAGTATAATTTTTATGCTAAAAGTTTAAGAATTTTAACCTCTATAAACTTTACATAAACAAGTTTTATCATATTTTTAATGGCAGACGCAAAAAATGGTGTTTTTCTCGGTTACTTTGATAAGGGGCCTTTTATTAACTTTGAAGGCAAAGTTCTCAAGAACAGTTTCTCGCACAATTATACTTTATATATATATAACAGGATTTTAAGTTCTAGACACTTTATTTATCCAATTTTTAAGATATTCTTGAAGACAGAATGAATTTTTTAACTTATTTTGATAAGGAGCCTCTTGTTGAATTTCTAGGAAAATTTCTCATTAACACCGCAACGCACAAGTATAATTTTTATGTCAAAAGATTAAGAATTTTAAGCTCTATAAACTTAACAGAAATAACTTTTACGATATTTTTAATGATAGACGCAAAAAATTGTGTTTTCTCGCTTGTTTTGATAAGGGGGTCTTTATTTTGAAGGCAAAGTTCTCAGGAACGGTTTATCCAAGCACAATTATAATTTTTGTATTAAAATGACCAGGATTTCGAATATTACAAACCATTTAACAACTTTTGAGACATTTTTAATGAAAAAACGCAAAACTGACTTTTGTCGTTTATTTTGGTATGAAGCATTTTGCTGACCTGTTGGTAAATTTATCAATGAAGGCTTACCACACGTTTTCAAGCTCTACAAACTATATTATACAATTTTCATATATTTCCACAAAAAAATGAGGTAAAATGATAATGAATAAGCTTAGAGGCAAATTATCTCCAAAGACCCTAATTTTGAAATTTTTGAATTTTTCATATCCTGTCAATGGTATAACATGGCTGGAATAATTTTCCGAAGTGATTTCCTTAGTAGTTTGCCTTCGGGACTTGAAAAACACGACGCCGGGTCGTAAAACATGCGGGTTTTATTATTTTTGCATTAATCGTACAAAGCTTGAAGGTTTTTTCGAAATCCCGTTTCAAATCGATCGTTCAAATAGCTATTTGATCGGTGTTGGAATAATAGTTGAGATTTGAGCTGAACGCGAAAAAACCCCTGGCGTGGTGAATTGTCGATGTAATCGTATTTAGAGAGCAATTTCGCTTATCTCGAGTGTTGGAGATAAAAAAAAAAAATCAGCAAACACAATAGATGGCTTTCTTCTCTTTGAACGTCCAAGGTTGCCGGATGATGAATTGGAATCCCGGAGGACCAAAACAATTTAAAAATTTGGCGAAATCTTTTTGCACAGAGCTTTCTTTACTCTGCGAGGATTTAGGTTTTTTCCTTTATCGGTTGAGGCCGGGGGTTTTTTTTTCTGACTTGCCTGGACAGTGCAAAGACCCCTTGCAATCGGCCTTGGGCGAGAAACCGATAAACCTCATCACTTTTATATTTTTCGAATTTATCGTACGGTTTTAAAATTGGCAGGTTTAAGTCCAACGTGGCAACTTGAAACTTTGAGCTTTTATTAGGAATATCGTAATAAAAGCTCAGAGTTTCCAAAATTGTATAAGTAAAGTTTGTAGAGAGTAAAATCTTTTTTAGGTTGGTACTGAAATTATAAATGTTGGTTTTTCTTGAGAAATTTGCTCCAATGAACAGAACAGTGCGCCCATAAATGAATAAGTACAAAAGCGCAGATTTTACCTGATTTAAAAAAAAATTAATATAAATATCTGACTATTGTTTAAGTGAAGCATGAACTTTTGGTTGTTTTTTATACAAAAATTACGATTGTATCGATAAAACTTCAAAGAGAAACCTACTAAAAAAGTCAAATTAAGTGACAAAACAATCAATTTTTGCATTTATTATTAAGAATATTTTAAAACTCGTTTCAATAAAGTTTATAGAGCTTAAAATTTTGATTCTTTTGCTACAAAGGCTTTTTATTAAAGTAAGTGTACAAAAAATTCCATTCTTGCGTTTATTAATAACAATGTCTTAAAAACCGTTACAATAAAATCTGTGCAGTTTAATAGCCCGGTGATTTTGAAACAAAATTTATTATTTTGCGATAAAAAGTTATTGAGATATTTTCCTCTTAAGTCAG